TTGATCATTGTAAAATACTTAATAACAAACCTACCTTCCAGTCTGTTCGATGGAATCTTAATGAGTGGAAGCTGCTAAAGACTGTTCTTTCTGAAAGCCAACACTTAAATTCATATCGTCATCGGTTACATTAATTCGTCTACCTTTATCCTGAAAATACAATGTTTCAATACGTAGAGTAGTTAATTAACTAACGAAATCGAAGTAAAGAGATTTGTAAACAAAGAAACGTTGTTAATGGCGATGGCATATTATTATAGGTCTTAGAACTGATGGCAGAAAGGCAGAAATATTTTCAAAAAGGGCCACGTAGGGGGGAATCGAAGTAAGTAGGATCGAAAGGGGCCAAGGCCACGTTCAACCACAAGGTGGACCGATAAAATCTCTCAAAAGTTGCAGAGGTTCGAACCCGCGTCAATCTGAAACTGAAAACTGAAAATAATGTTGACACATTTTTAATAAAAGTTATTGAATAAAGAGTCTCCATCCGAGGAACGCGGGTTCGAACCCCGCTGCCGCTTGACTATTGTAGTGAAACCACTCGTTACGTAACACATGCATAATGTTTAGCTTTCCATGGTGTTGTTCTTAAAAAAAAGGCTTTTATGGGTACCTACTTAGGCTCCGTCCCTCTCTTTTAAATTGAGATGTATCTAAATATAATGGAAATCTTTGCATTTAACGAACCTATTTAGACAGAAATTATAATTATAACGATTAGGAACCTAAGTAGGTAAATAAAGCACATAGCTCGCCGTTGGGGTAGAATTGTTTCAAGTGGGGACCAGACACTGAAAGACGATAAGTAGGTAGGACTACCTGACGATGGACGACGAAATGATGAAGATGATTGCAGCAGTGAAGGACCCCATTGTGAATACGAATAAAAATAACTGCAACGCATGACTTATGAAAACTTATAAGATATTATCGACCTACTTCAGATTTACGTGGATGTTATGTATAATAAACCTTCCTCCTGAATCACTCTATCTATTGCTGAAAACTCCAATAAAATATTTGCGAAGTTTAAAAGATCTAAGCAAAACATCAGCGGACTACACTCGACATCAAATAAATCGCACCTCCCGCGACAAGCATTTTCAAACGTATGCTTCCCCACTTCCCACCAATATTAGCACCATTTAAAAGCCTAGTTCTAACCTTCATTGCATTAAAGGAAAGGTTTTTACCCCAAAAATGTGTCTTTAGAAGGATCCAGAGTCACTTCTTCAAAAAATAGGTAGTTACGCTAGAGCCAACTTTTATGGCTATAAAACTGTTAAGTTGGGATTAATCGCTATCCATCTGTTAAAGAGGACACGTGAGATCATTATTTGGTTTTATAACCATAAAAATTGGTCTAATTGATCCCATAGGTGGGCCCAAAGTGAGGTATTTTTTCAAGTCACATTTATGGTATATGTTAATCATTTATTAAGAAATTAAATGTGTTTTTCTTTAAGGATATTTATTGGGCTTTCAAATAACACCAATATTGTTGGGGCACCATTATTGTGTCAGAAGAAAATCGTTAAAGTTCAGCTCCACGTCTGCCTTCTAGCTCATCCGTTGCAAGATGGGCTTGCCTCCACGCCAGAAACCAGACTCTCATGATTAAAACCTGACCAGTTATGGTCAAGAACAGCTCACGCCATATGAATCAGTATTTTATGCCGGACACTGCTAATTTATTTTTTTGCAAACAAACTAACTTAATTAAAATTATGACGCATTTTTTTTGGAGAAGGACAACTCATTGCTTTCGAAATAATTTTAAATTATATTGATATATTAAAAGGAAAATGCTACATCAACCATTTTGTTCCGGAAAATGGCTAACGGACACACCATATGAATCAGAGAATCACACTTCAAATATTTTTATTTTGTATAAAGACAGCAATTATGTCAAAAATGTAATTTGCGCCAGATAGGGCTATAGTTAAGCTATACGAAAAAAAATATTGCATGCCATTTTCTTAGTTGGTTACAGAACTATACCCAAAGACATCGAAAATTTTGCCTCCGAAGAAATACCCTCTGTCCGTCCGTATGTCACAGCCATTTTTTTCCGAAACTATAAGAGCTATACTGTTGAAACTTGGTAGGTAGATAGTAGGTAGGTAGTACTCGGTATTCTGTGTAATTTTTTTTCATCAAACACATACGTGTTGGTTATCTATGGATAGGTCTTCAAAAATGATATCGAGGTTTCTAAAACATTTTTTTTCTAAACCGAATAGTTTGCGTGACAGACGCTTCCAAATTGGAAAAAAATTGCCCCCCCCCCTAACTTCTAAAATAAGAAAATGAAAAATCTAAAAAAAAAAGTGATGTACATAAAAACATTACTATAAAAACTACCAACGAAAATTGTTTTGAACGAGATCTAGTAAGTAGTTTTTTTTTAGTACCTCGTAAATCGTAAACCGCTTATTACCGCGTAATCTTTCATACAAATAACTTAAATTAAAAAATAATAATTTCCTAAATCTATGGTACGGAACCCTTTGTGCGTGAGTCCGACACGCACTTGGCCGGTTTTTTATTTTGGTAGAACGAAAAAATCTATTTTTAGTCGATTGTTGCGATTCAGATTTAAATAAAATTTGAATAAATAATTATTGAAATTCGTTTGTTTTAAAAACATAATCTACAGCCCACGCATTTATTATTCTACATTTAAACTCTCTCTTCTCTTTAAGACTTGGAACCGTTAATTAAAGGTGTTGAAGGTTGTNATGTTGAGTATATGTGTAGGTACCTACGCTGTAATAGCTACTTACCTAGACTACTTTATAACTGCGGATTATCAAGACGCTTCTAACAATGACTTAATTTTACAAATTATGATTATTATAGTAGTTTAGATTAGAAGTAGAAGTGGGCATTGCGTGATTTATCGAGGGTTTTTTAAAACATAAATGTGAAAGGTTGTTAACTTCGCCGACCATTGAATTAGGATCTACCTACATGGGTGTCGAGATCAAGATTTCACTTGGCTATTTTTACGTACTCCTTAATGGGTAAAAAAGAATTGAAATCAGAAAGCCGAGTTTAAAAAAATGATTTTCTGAGATTATTCAGCTAAAAAGATGACTAAAAGAAGCCGTAATTAATCGACGCTTCATATTGAACTATTTTCTCAGTCTATCTCAGTGTTTCAGAACCAAACTATTATGCTCGAATTCGCAGATTCAATCCAACAATTGCGTTGTGTGTTATAATAACATTAGATGGATGTTTATAGTCTTAAGTCATGGTGACCATTTGTGCCTAGCACTGGATCATAAATATCGCATGTTGCGAAGGGACGACCCCAAATAAAATGGGAATGGGCCAGGCTAAGAAGACTGGATCATCTATACTAATACTAATACTAATACTAATACTAANAAAAAATAGAATAATCACAATAAAAACATTAGGAAATGTTTCAATAAAATATATTTGAATTGACTGAGCAAAAAGCGCCATCTATTGCAAATTAATTCTAAATCACGCCAATAGATGTCGCTAGTGGTATCCTAAATCCAAATATCGAGAAGAAATATCAATTTGTGAAAACAGCCAAAATTGCAACGCTACAGTACCTACGCTATAATAGCTACCTAGACTACTATAAAACTGCGGATTATCAAGACGGGGTCGACTTTCCCAATCATGCACCGTCCATTTGATTCTATCTTGAACGCATAAAATAATTCGGCATAGTTAAATAAATTATTTACATAACTTATCAATGAAAATTATGTACAAAGCCTGTTTGAAAGAACTCGCTGAGTGTCAAGTCACGGTGGTACAAACTCTAATAAGATGGATGATATCTTCGAAAATATGCGTGTAGGAACACAAAATTAAATGTTCTTAAGACGTCGCAGCGTGGGACGTCCACCCACAAGGTGGACCGACGACCTGATAAAGGTAGCGGGAAGGCGCTGGATGCAGGCCGCTACCAACCGTGCGATGTGGAAGTCATTGGGGGAGGCCTATGTTCAGCAGTGGACGTCCTGTGGCTGAAATGATGATGATGATGATGAAGACATTTTGACTAGTTTTTATTCAAAGGATAACTTTTAAAGTTACGAGAAATTACAAGGAACACGTATAGAAATTTTCAATACTTAACGCCCATATTCACAAACGATGCTTGCTTAAATGAAGCAGCACATCGAACCCACAGCGTTAAATAAAGCTCTGTGATTGGTTCGTGTCACCCTGTGCGTCCACGCGCACTGTGAGACCTCATAGTAATGTTTGTGAATGCGAGCGTAAAGGTTTCACCGCTAACACACAACCCGGCCGAGTCCGCCGGGCCCGGCTGGGTTGGCGACGAATGCGACCGGGCCCAGCCGGGTTGAGAAACATACCGGGTTGCAATCTCTGGCACTGAGTGATTGATTGGGGGTTTTTTAACATAAATGTTCAAGATTTCACTTGGTTATTTTTTACGTACTCATAAAATGGGTAAAATAGAAATGAAATCAGAAAACTGAGTATAAAAAAATAAAAAGTAGAGAAAACATGATGTCTAAAAGAAGCAGCAGTTAATGTTATAGTTACGGTCAAAGTTAGGTGGTGCAACTCAAACCTAGACTCAGAAAAAAACTATCATGCTATAATTCGTAGATTCAATCCAACATTTGCGTTGTGTGTCATAATAACATTAGAAGAATGTTTAATGACTATTTTGTGCCCAGCACTAAATCATAATTATCAAAATGTTTAAATAAACAACTTGAAAAAATCTAACTGCCTAAGGCGGGAATCGAAGCCACGACCTTCAGCTAATCTAATATCTAATTCATACAAGTACAATAAAAGAAATGTCACTTTGTTACAAATTACATAAACGAATTTTTAAATCCGTGTCAAGGACGCCGTTCGCAGCCATATACTCGAAACAGGTTTAACCACTGTCATGACCACTTTCTTATGAAAGCATATCAGTGGCAAATAATGTTTTTGTAGTATAAAAGAACATGAATTAAATCAGCATTATCATTCAACTTACAACTTCTGTTGTGTCAACAGCAAAAACTAAAGAAAACATGTACTCAAAGGTAGTTAGCAAAAAGTATTATAATTTAAAATAACTGAACTTTGAGAAGTTGAATTTGCGATTCTAATCAAATATGCGTTTTCTTTAGATCGTCATCGTAGCAGCAGCTCTTGCCGTGGCTGCGGCGCGGCCTCAGGGCGGCCACGAGCACGGGCACGCGTACTCCTCGCAGAGCATCGTGCTGCACCAGAGCCACGGCCACGAGGCGCAGAGCCACGGCCACCAGGCGCAGAGCCACGGCCACCAGGCGCAGAGCCACGGCCATCAGCAGCCCGCGCACCACGCTCACCAGGAAGAACACCACGCCGACTACTATGTAAGAGCTTGTCCAGATTGACATGCGTAGCTACACATACCTAGATACCTAAAGGCACATAAGTAGGTACTATACGTGCCATAATTTCCGCGAGTATAAGCAGTATAACGCATGTCCTGTTGCAGGCGGAGCCCCACTACTCCTACGAGTACAAGGTGCAGGACCCGCACACGCACGACAATAAGTACCACCACGAGACCCGCAAGGGCGACCAGGTGAAGGGCGTCTACAGCCTGCACGAAGCCGACGGCTCCGTGCGCATCGTCGAGTACACCGCCGACAAACACAATGGGTAAGTCTTTTACATTGGAAGAGTTTTGTCATATCTATAGGTGTGAAGTCAGTTCTGTTAATGGATATTCTATGACCCTCTAAAATGCCAGTGTGATCTAATATTGTCGTTCCTTTACAGATTCAACGCCATCGTGAAGCACGAAGGCCACGTCCAGCACATCGTCCCCGAGCACCACCACCATTAAATAACTACCTCTTTGCTGTGATACTAGCTGTTGACTCTTGATAATGTTTTGTTAAGTTTTGTAAATATAGTAAAACAAATTCTATAAAATAATTATCAATACTTTTAATTTTCCTGACCCAAAACTTCCTAACTGTATGCACTCATAGCGCTTTGAACTTTAAACCTAAATTTTTCAATTATCTCGTAACCTTACTTATTTTTGAAGAAAAGTTAAATAAATAAGATTTTCAATTTTTCTGGACGAGTACGGGTTAAGATGCAGCATGAGGCAGAGGGATCTGACTTTACCGAAGGTTTTCAACTTGTACTAGAACATTATGATCACATCGTTGCCCTCAGCATCACGTGTGTCAGCTGAGTACATTTGGTTTTTATCAACATCCATGAGACAACATGGTGTTGGAGTGGGTATAAATATTGTCTCCAACGATGAGGGAACTCAGAAAAGTGAGGTGCCAAACTGCAGAAAATGGCGGAGGAAATACATGATTATGCATGAATTATATTTTGTGTTTCTATTATTATTCAGGCAGTTATAGATCTGCACAGTATTAATTGCACCACCGCTATATTATACATAGTTTATTGTCTTTACAATGCAAATGGGTAAAGAATACACACACATGCGTGCGTCAATGCTCGCTCGTGATTGTCCTGTCGATTAGATATCTCAAGAGGTGTAGTCGAGCGTGTTTTGTTTTCGATGCAAACTCGCGGAAATGAACAGTCCTGCTACAGGCAAATGTCTAGGTGAAGTACGCGAGCATCGTTCGAACTGAACCTTAACCAGAATATTGTACTATCTTCTTTGTCCCTAAAAAGGGTGCTTTCCTGCTGTGGGTGTCGACTTAAAAACTCCGATTTTGATTCGTTTGATGTTTTCAGGACGATTTTTAGGGTTTCGTAGCCAAATGGCAAAAAGCGGAACCCTTATAGATTCGTCATGTCTGTCTGTCCATTTGTCCGTCTGTCCGTCCGTATGTCACAGCCATTTTTTTCCGAAACTATAAGAGCTATACTGTTGAAACTTGGTAGGTAGATGTATTCTGTGAACCGCGTTAAGATGTAGATGCAAAAATAAAAAATAATTATAAATATTGGGGGCTCCCCATACTTAGAAATGAAACTCAAAAAATTTTTTTTCATCAAACACATACAACATAATTATATGGATAGGTCTTCAAAAATGATATCGAGGTTTCTAAAATATTTTTTTTCTAAACCGAATAGTTTGCGTGACAGACGCTTCCAAATTGGAAAAAAGTTGGTCCCCCCCCCCCTCTAACTTCTAAAATAAGAAAATGAAAAATCTAAAAAAACATGTGATGTAGGTACCTACATAAGAACATTACTATAAAAACTACCAACAAAAATTGTTTTGAACGAGATCTAGTAAGTAGTTTTTATTTAATACCTCGTAAATCGTAAACCGCTTATTACCGCGTAATCTTTCATACAAATAACTTAAATTAAAAAATAATAATTTCATAAATCAATGGTACGGAACCCTTTGTGCGTGAGTCCGACACGCACTTGGCCAGTTTTTTATTTTGGTAGAACGAAAAAATCTACTTTTAGTCAATTGTTGCGATTTAGATTAAGATAAAATTTGAATAAATAATTATTGAAATTCGTTTGTTTTAAATACATATCTACAGCCCACGCATTCAATATTCTACATTTAAACTCTCTCTTCTCTTTAAGACTTGGAACAGTTAATTAAAGGTGTTGAAGGTTGGAGATATTGAAGCTTTAGAGCTTTTACATATAACTAACTTCCAACAAATCTATCATATTTATCCGTGGAAATCTAACTAAATAAATCAAAATCTATAAAAAAATCTGCACTATTGGTCCACTTTAGCAAAACAGGAATTTTGTAATTTTATTCAAAACTTCAATCGCTGCAATCAATTTCTTCCAAGATCCAAGATCTTATCAAAAATACAATTTAGTAACCCTATTCGAAAGTGAAATCTATTTTGTTTGATTGCTATTTTACATAAATTGAAGAACATAGACTAGGGTGGTTCGGGTCAGGGAAAAGAATGGATCAGTTATAGAATTTTATTTGCTATATCTACAAAACTTAACAAAAACATTATCAAGAGTCAACAGCTAGTATCACAGCTTAGAGGTAGTTATTTAATGGTGCGAGTGGTGGTGCTCGGGGACGTGGCCTTCGTGCTTCACGATGGCGTTGAATCTGTAAAGGAAGGACAATATTAGATCACACTGGCATTCTAGAGGGCCATAGAATATCCATTAACAGAACTGACTTCACATCCACAGGTATAACAAAGCTCTTCCACAGTAAAAGACTTACCCATTATGTTTGTCAGCGGTGTACTCGACGATGCGCACGGAGCCGTCGGCTTCGTGCAGGCTGTAGACGCCCTTCACCTGGTCGCCCTTGCGGGTCTCGTGGTGGTACTTGTTGTCGTGCGTGTGCGGGTCCTGCACCTTGTACTCGTAGGAGTAGTGGGGCTCCGCCTGCAACAGGACATAAGTACGTTATACTCGCTGGACGCAACAACGAATGTGCGAGTCGAAGTTTCCTAAACTAGCACGTGTTTTACGCACGAATTGCAAAATGCACGTGTCCTTGTGGACTGAATGTATGAGATTTAAGTATTTTGACGAGTTTTCATCTGGAGAAACACTTACGTAGTAGTCGACGTGGTGCTCTTGCTCGTGGGCGTGGTGCTCCTGGTGACCGTGGCTCTGCTCCTGGTGGCCGTGGCTCTGCACCTGGTGGCCGTGGCTCTGCGCCTCGTGGCCGTGGCTCTGGTGCAGCACGATGCTCTGCGACGAGTACGCGTGCCCGTGCTCGTGCCCGCCCTGAGGCCGCGCCGCAGCGATGGCGAGGGCTGCCGCAACGATGACGATCTACGATAAATATTTTATTTATATTGAGGACATAACAATAATGCCACAAGTTCACAGTTATGGTTTCTTGGAAAAGCTTCGTTTTTAAAACAATTATGTATGAAAAAAGTCAAAGGTGAAAAACCTTGCTGCCCATTTTTCCAGGGATAGTGAACTAAAAACATTTTCATTTATTCAGTAAGTAATTTTTAAACAATTTATTTCAAAAATTTTAATCAATTACTAATTATTTATTTAAAATCTTTATTGCACACATAAAATTACAGTGGTACAACAGGCAATTAGATTTAATTTAATTTCTAATTAATGATTTATTTACCTTGGAAATCATTATTTACTAGTTAAATAAATGTATTTGTCTATTGAATCAATAAGACACAGTGGTCACCAGTGGTATGATAAATTCCGAATTCAATATCAACTTTTATACTTCAGTGTACCTACCATGAGTTTACGTTAGGTGTGCTCGCTAGCGAGTACGTCAAAAATCTCTATGAAGTATTTGTTTCTTGAAAGTAGCCGCTAGGGGCGCTGCACAATATGTCATACAATTAATGTCATTTTTTTACGCAGTCGCTAGCGAGCACACCTAACGTAAACTCATGGTAGGCACACTGAACTCGAAATGGTTTTCGCAAGATTTGAACCTGATTTTTAGTGCATGTGGAAGGTGACCTGTCACACCTACATACTCTCACTTGACTTGAGTTATTAAGCAGATAAGTAAACAGTACCTATCTATCTACTTACCCAAAATATTTTTCATGATGATGCAGGTAAGTAGATACCTACTAATAAAGTAACCAAATACGTAGTTTCAAAATGGTAACTTTCAGTCAGTGCAGTGCTTCTTCTGCATTCAGTAGGAACTCAAAACATTATTTTTTGGAGTTAATAATTTGATACACTTACTACTTTCAGTTCAACAAAACTAATAGTAATTAATAATATATTATTTCCATACATCACTTAGGTTTGCGAAATCTTATGTTTGCAATACACAAACGTGCAAGTAGAAAGTAACCGACCTTTTGGTACCATATTTTGGGGTAAAAGTAAATACAGCTGGTTTCAATAAACTATGCAATGATAAGGATTATGTGTTTAACAGTATAAATTCGGCAACCAATTATTATAATTATCAGTTAGCTTCAGCACATTAAACTAACTTGTAATCCAAAACTCAAAAAAGTTCATCAAAGTAAGATTTGAAAAAAAAACATATTAAAAAAAACCTATCGCTATGAAATCAATTTTGAAAAAATGCTAATCAACTGGATTGGATTATTACAAATGCCAGCTACAAGCACTTTGTTATGCATTTTCTTTACAGAATCGCTATTAACATTTTAATGACTAGGTATGCCTACTAGTCATTCTTGTACAAGTAAATTACCTAGGTACCTACCTACTACTAACCATGTTTACCCCTCCAAGTAAGATAAACTAAAATAGAATGCTTAGTGGACGTATAAAAATTGGTTGTCGGGAATCGAACTACCGTTGCTCGAATCTAAATTGAACAGTTTAATGCCGACACTGTTGGGCCTTGTCAGTTCAATATGGGGATGTTATAGGTACTGAATGAAAATGTATTGGGAAAAATTAAATGGACTTATTTCTTCTTTTCAGATTGTAACCATGATCGCTGTCGTGGCAGTAGTGTGCCAGGCCGCTGAACACCACCACAAAGTGGCCATCTCGTCGCAGCACATCGAACGCCACGATGTCCCCGCGCATCCCCCTAAGGACTTCCACCAATACGATGTATGTAATGTTTTAGTGTTGTTTTTTTCACTTGTTTCCATTTTGAACAGAAAATTACGATTTGTTGTTCACCTACTGGAGGACAATTAAAGTGGGTCACGTATTTTAAAGCACTCATAATTAGGTACTTAAATATTTTTTATTTAAATGACCAAACCTTATAACCAAATCAGTAATCATCATAAATCAGCTCATTAATTCAAGTGCAAGTTTTATTCTAAACAAATTTACTTAAGGTCAGAATTAAATGCTGTGGGAATCTGTAACTCGTATTTAGTGTGATCAACATTAGAAACCCATAAAGCTCCAAAACTTGTATGCTCCAATCAATGATATTATAGAACTATAGATATGTTACGTTCATAGAAATTACGATTTTAATCCGTGCCGAGCTATTCCAAATTGCACACATTGACAAATGTAACTGATAAGTGAAACAAAAGATACGAAATAGCATGCAAATGAAAGAGATAGCTCTAGTTTTAACGNTTTGTTGTCCTCCAGTAGGGAGGACAATTAAAGTGGGTCACGTATTTTAAAGCACTCTTAATTAGGGGCACCTAAATAGGCATACTTAAATATTTTTTATTTAAATGACCAAACCAAACCAACCAAATCAATAATCACCATATATCAGCTCATTAATTCAAGTGCAAGTTTTATTCTAAACAAATTCACTTAAGGTCAGAATTAAATGCTGTGGGAATCTGTAACGTATATAATGTGATCAACATTAGAAACCCATAAAGCTCCAAAACTTGTATGCTCCAATAATGTTAGTGTCAATTCTCGCCTAGCTGATTCTTGGCTGTTTAAAACAATTTCCCACATATAATTAATACAAACATGTATATTTATTATGTTGATCCAATTAACCTTTTTGACTCAGGGTCACGCGAAGTACGAGTTCGAATACAAGGTGCACGACGCCCACACCGGCGACATCAAGCAGCACCACGAGTCCCGCGACGGGCACAAGGTGGAGGGCGCCTACAGCCTGCACGAGCACGACGGCTCCGTGCGCACCGTCAAGTACCACGCCGACAAGAAGACCGGGTAAGAACTGATGCTCCTTTAGTGTAGGCGCACATTAGGCGACAGACAAGGCGACTAGACGCAATGACAGGCTGCGGCTGACAATTTCATATAGTTATTTTGTTCAAAGCTTCGCACACTTGGCGTCAGAGTCGCGAAGTCGCAACGACAAGTTAATATTCTGAAATTGAAAAAACAGCGGATTGACAAGAATAGGCGTCAAGTCGCCAAGCTATTGTTGTCGCGTTAGTCCTGAAAAGCTTGAAGCAGAATTTGACTATCATGAGACCTTAAAACGTTTTAATAATGACAAAAATATTAGCATTGCTATTGCAACCAAAGCAAGGGCTCTGCATCTAAGTAAAGAAGATTCTAGTTACATAAAATTTATATTAGAAAAGATCGTTCCTAAACTGGAAATAATGTTGGCCTAACATTTTCTAGACTACCGTGATAAAGTGTGTTCTCCACGCTAGACGAAGTAGAACTCTACCAAGGCAGGCTACAAAACCACGATCACCCGGCTATGTTTCATAAATAAATAGTAATTTATTGTCTTTCCAGATTCCAAGCTGAAGTGAAACACACCACCAAGCATATCGAGGAACACAAGCACCATTAAGCAATTTGTTGTTGGATCTATTTTTAAGTCTGTTTGTTTGTTAAATTATGTTTTATTTAATATCGATAGAGACAAATAAAGTTAAATAGTCAAAGAAAAATCAAAGTTGTTTTCTTTCTTGCATGCTTTCGTGTAACAATAACGATAACCAGTGTTTAAAATTTTTTCGTGCTCTACTGTATACTATCATTGAACAACATACTTATTAAATTAATGTTACAAAATAGCACCAAAGTAGGTATTACGAGTATAATACGAGATAGTCACGATGTCACAGAGAACTTTAAAAGCCTCAATTTTGATACCTACGTATCTCTGATGCCCAAAAAAAACATTCGCAATCATGAACAACAAAAACAAAATAATTATAGGCTGGCTTCAATACCACTTTCGTTATTAAAAACAAAAGCACTCAATACCAAATTATAAGGTCAACCATCACTGCTTCCAAGTAATATTTCAATGTCAACACATGTTACCAAGGGGCTACTCTTACAGCGAGGTAAACGGATTACCTATTAATGTTAATGAATGACATATCGTTTTTTTTAATACAATCGACCAGATTTACTAATCTAAACTTATAATATAAATCCATTTTTATCTAAGGTAGAAATTTTATAAGGACTCTGAGAGTCTAAATAAAGACTCCGTTAATTGAATAGGAAATCGATGACCAATACAATTTGAGTAAAATATTTTATAGAAAAGCATAGTAAATGACAGATTAACACATCGTAGAAAAAGATTGACATAGTTTTAATGCAAATTATACTTATTAAATGGCCTGACTCGTCGACCTTGTCACACCCAAAATTCACCTAGTATAAAAGCGCTTGTTACCGTACGTAATGCATCAGTTGTATCATAGTCATTACAACAATGTTCTCCAAAGTGAGTGTCTATCATTGGAATACAAATATGGATCAATAAGTGAAGTGTGTGCAGGACTTTTATTGAAAGTGTGGTTTTATTCACAGATCGTAGCTTTGAGCGCCATCTTGGCCGTCTCCGCGGCTGGTCTCCTGCCGGAGCCGCACTACTCCTCCGCCGCGGCCGTGTCCTCCCAGAGCATCGTGCGCCACGACCAGCCCCAGACCTACGCCACCAAGCTGGTGGCCGCGCCCGTCGCCAAAGTGGCCGTAGCCGCCCCCGTGTACCACGCCGCCCCCGCCGTCGCCTACCACGCCGCCCCCGCCCACTACTCGTCCGCCGACGCCGTGTCCTCCCAGAGCATCGTGCGTCATGACCAGCAGCCCTCGGCCAAGCTCGTAGCCGCCGCCCCCGTGTACCACGCGCCCGCCCAGGTCGCCTACCACGCTTCAATAATATTATGGTGTTGGGCTTCTGTAATTGATTTTGTCGAGAAATGATAAGTACGTACATAAAACAATATCCAAGTCAGCTGGGAGACTTATGCCCGTTTTCACCATCAATCCTTAATTTTTAAGTACGTTATACATAACCCCTATGAAAACAAAATTCTTGTTATGTGCTTCCACTGTGCTGGGGTCACTTAAAAATTAGGGATTGATGGTGAAAACGGCATTATCGCTATTGGAGCGGAAATTATCACTTATAAAGGATCCGAAACGACACAGAATTACATAATAAACCACTTCCTTTAATTGGTAAAACGACTGTTCTTTCAAGTTTATCTTATCATTTGAGTCTCACAATTTTGAACTTTTTTTTTTAAATGTATTAATGTGTAACACATGAAGTGCGTAATGCCTTCTGACGTGATCGTACATGCTTGCTATCCATGACCTTAAAACTAGGCCAAAACTTTAGTCTTTTTGTACCTAAATGCCACACGTGTATAATTATGTATTATTTTGTCATTGACCTTGCTTTACATTTTAATTTTTACTCGATACTTATGTATTAAAAATGTGGACTTATTATTTCCGTAGGATATTTTTGACCTATTATACCTACTTCACGATTATGAATTATGCTTATTGAAGTAGTTAGTTGCCTAAGAAATTACTCGTAATTAAAGTTTTACACTACTTACTTATGTAAAATCTAAACATACACAACTTTCGAACAAACATAGGACTCATGAATCCATATCCATAGATACCCCACACGTATGTGTTTGATGAAAAAAAAAATTTTGAGTTTCAGTTCTAAGTATGGGGAGCCCCCAATATTTATTATATTTTTTTTATTTTTGCATCAAAATCTTAATGCGGTTCACAGAATACATCTACCTACTTACTTACAGACGGACGGACGGACAGACAGACATGACGAATCTATAAGGGTTCCGTTTTTGCCATTTGGCTACGGAACCCTAAAAATGACCTGCCATGACCTCGCAAAGGAATAAGGATCGAGGGTAGTGTAGTGTCGGTGAGTCGAAGCTGAACCTATGCTGATAGTGTTCGATGCGCGCGTACAGCGAGCGCCCGTACTTGCTTGAGAAAGAGAAAAGAGAACATTCGTCAAANAACTTTGACCCGTTATAATTCTTAAACTACTAGTTCAAATTGAATGAAATTTTAAATATACCGTGTCTTTACAATGCCTGCATAGCTAATGAAAATTCAGCCTTCTAGTTTTATCATATCATGCCCCCAGAAAATATACAAAAGATAAACATCTGAATATCCTACTAATATCCGGTACCTACTCCAAGAACACTGCCGTACTTACCGCATGAAACATAATGAGAGCGTAATAGTCATGACAACGGATTGTTAAAAGCTTACGAAAAGCTCGAAAACGGTGATCATTAACAGTTTATTCGTGTAAATCAAGCGAGATAATATGCGTGACTATCAATATCTATACAAGCTGTATATTATCTCAATGTATCATCTTCTATACTTATAATAAATCTGTAGAGAGGTCAATTCTGTACATGAAATATATTTTCAAAATAACTATCAGGGGGTGATTAGTGATCGATACTGATGCCAAAAATGCAATCAGTAAAATTTTTGTCTGTCTGNCTCGCTCACCACTAAACGTTGGACCACTAAGCAATACTGACTGACAGAATGTGATTATTATTACTCTGAGAAAGAGTAAATGTTGTAAATAGTCAATTATTTATAAATAAAAAACGATTGTTAAAACGTATGTATTTTTACTAAACCACCACTGCACAATACATTAATGCTGAAAGTTACTCCCTCATTGATTTGAGAGAGAAAGGAAAGCATTGAGAATGTATGCATGCATGCAAATAAGTATGACCAACCAATAGATGCAGCTTATATTATTAAATTTAAATGGGACCACCCTTGAGGTATTACCTATACGCTGAAAAAAGATTTGTTCAAATCGGTTCATAATTGGCGGTGTTATCGCGTAACAAACATAGAAAAAAAAAAACATACGGGTCGAATTGAGAACCTCCTCCTTTTTTGAAGTCGGTTGAAAATAATGATAAATCATTTCATTTGAGACCGTTATAAATGTACATGTAGGTAACCATCACCACTATGTAGAATTGTAACGACCTCACCTAATGATTGCCTCCTCCAAGTTTCCCTGCGCTACGTAATAACGAAAAATGTGCAGGAGCTGCTTCGTTTTGAACAGGTTTCAGCGGGGCTTTACCGTTTGTCAAAGCTGAATTCAAAGCCTTTTGAAAACTCCGTTTCATGTAGAGAAGCTTTTCATGGGATGCAATATTCATACTGAAAAATCAACCACATAATTATTGGTTTACTAAATTGATTTTGCTTGTTATACATATTATTATTGAAGTAGTTGCCTATGAAATGAGTTCTACTAAAGTTAGATAAAATAACGTACACAACTTTCTTTGGTACAAACATAAGTTTCACGAAAATAAAAAAGCAGTTTGATATAGCTTTTCATTAATTTTAATATTATTAAAAAGCCATTCAGTTAACATTTTCATCATTCAAACACGTGTATGAACCCAAAATATTGCATCGTCGTTCGATATGTTTTTAATAGGCTTTACTNTTAATCCTCGTCGCCATTGTATTGTACACCTTTATCTCCGCCATTAGATTATTATTTGGCTCGCCTACGCACACAGCACGACCTGCCCGCACCACGGTCGGACGCCGAATGCCCCCACCGCCGACTAGGCTGTGACGTATGCGCTCGAGACAAATGTCTATACACTACACTGTAAATTAATTTGAGCATTTGCTCAAAACTTATATTTAATCTGAAACCATGGACCTATAAAAAAAGTCGGACGGATTCTCATCAACAAAATACTGTGACATTAGGATACACCAGCTTGCCTGTACGTACAGGCCGGCACGCACACATTCACACCCTGATACACCACTTCGAGTGCAAACTTCACACAGTTGACACATTTAGGCGGCGAAAAAACAACACGAATACGACATTTCTTGTGTGATGAAATTGTGTAAAAACCGTTCTGTTCGAACAAACAAAAATTAAGGAATCACATATCACAGGTAAAATAATAATACAATTACTTATTTCCCAACATTAAAATATTGAAATTAATTGAAATCAAACGTCATTCACTCGAAAAAATAATACGTCAAAGTCCAGTGTTCTCAGTTATTTACGTGGGAAAATTACCCGAAATATGGGAAATTAATAATAATTTTAGGACTTTTTAGTTGTTTATTACGCATACTATAGAAATAAAATAATTTATCATAATAATTGTGTTTTAATGGGATATATTTTCATAGGCAGATTTGATCCTTCCCAAAAGTGTGGAACTGCGAAATTCAAATTTTCTTACATTGATTGCAATTGCAAGTCAGTGTCAGGTTGTATGTTAAAATCTATCAGAGATAATAATAATGATATATTGATGATGCATAAGATTATCATCATAATCATAATCGTTTATTGCTTCATAAGTGTACATAGGTGCTTCATAAGTGTTCATAATGTACACAAGATTCGTAATTTGTAACTACCCACTAGTTACCCTGACACTGACTTGCAAACAATGTTAGAAAATTTGAACATTGAAAATTTCGCGCCTTCCTCACCGCATTCACCTTTTATCCTTTTCAAATGGCACGGAATAATTCTGTCTACATTTCCAAGTAACATCTGCCGATCTATGTTTTTCTTAAAGTAAATGGGTAAAATGTTTTGGCTAACATGGCATCCCTAAATTCACTCACACAATAGACAGACGCCAAAATTTTGCGTCACAGTTTTGTTGTAGCGCGAGTTCCGTCCGCCTTTTTTTATAGGTCCATGTCTGAAACTAACAGACACCGAGCCAAATAAAAGCTTGAAAAACATTAAACGTGACGTGACATAATGGATATAGTAAAATCACTGTGATTACTTTATGAATGGATGAATCACAGCTGCAAAATTGTATTAACGTAAGTTGTAAGGTCAAAGCTCGCGTTAATGCGCATCTTCTTTGTTGAAACGAGTAAACGCTTGTAGCTAGGAGCTTCTAAAATTGAGGAAATTATTTAGCTTTTATTATATATCTATGTAAGGGGCAAGTATGTTATGTGTACATGTATTTCGTAAAGGTCGTTTAAGTATTCTGAATCTGTAACCTATCAATAACTTTTTTATTTATTTACCTTTAACAACATATTAAATGGAGTTAAAGTACAATCTAGTATCTATTAAGGTGATCTATAAAGAAAGCTGTCTGAAACACAGGCAGCAGCTCTGTGACCCGTTGACCTTGTGACACCCGAAACACATCATGTAGTATAAAAGCGCGCCTCTACTCATTCAATGCATCAGTCGTGTATCAGACAAGCACAACAATGTTCACCAAAGTAAGCAAAAGTATATTAATATAAGAATAGCTACATTTTTTTTTATTATAATACAGATAACTAATAAATACTTAAAAATTCCAGATCGTAGCTTTGAGCGCCATCTTGGCCGTCTCCGCGGCTGGTCTCCTGCCGGAGCCGCACTACTCCTCCGCCGCGGCCGTGTCCTCCCAGAGCATCGTGCGCCACGACCAGCCCCAGACCTACGCCACCAAGCTGGTGGCCGCGCCCGTCGCCAAAGTGGCCGTAGCCGCCCCCGTGTACCACGCCGCCCCCGCCGTCGCCTACCACGCCGCCCCCGCCCACTACTCGTCCGCCGACGCCGTGTCCTCCCAGAGCATCGTGCGTCATGACCAGCAGCCCTCGGCCAAGCTCGTAGCCGCCGCCCCCGTGTACCACGCGCCCGCCCAGGTCGCCTACCACGCGCCCGCCCAGGTCGCCTACNTTAGTGGTGAGCGAGGAGGACGGGCGCGTGGGCTTGGGCGGCGTGGTGGGCGGGCGCGGAGTGGCTGACCACCGCGTTGAAGCCGTTGTGGTCGTCGGCGGAGTACTCGACCTTGCGGATGGAGCCGTCAGCCTCCACCAGGGAGTACTCGCCGTGCACGGCGTCGCCGTCGCGGCTCTCGTGCTGGGACTTGTTGTCGCCGGAGTGGCCGTCGGCGACGGAGTACGAGTACTCGTATTTGGGGTGAGCCTGGGAAACAAAGCTACGATTAGAACGCACTTCACTCTTTACAGATTGCAGTTATGTGTTCTGTATTGACAGTATACTTACGTATTCCTCCTCGTGGTGGGCGACGAGGACCTTAGCGGCGGGGGCGATCACCTTGGCGACAGGGGCGGCGTGGTAGGCGACGGCAGCGGGGGCAGCGTGGTAAGCGACTGGGGCGGGGGCAGCGTGGTAGGTCACGGCGGCGGGCGCGGTGTGGTAGGCGACCTGGGCGGGCGCGTGGTAGGCGACCTGGGCGGGCGCGTGGTACACGGGGGCGGCGGCTACGAGCTTGGCCGAGGGCTGCTGGTCATGACGCACGATGCTCTGGGAGGACACGGCGTCGGCGGACGAGTAGTGGGCGGGGGCGGCGTGGTAGGCGACGGCGGGGGCGGCGTGGTACACGGGGGCGGCTACGGCCACTTTGGCGACGGGCGCGGCCACCAGCTTGGTGGCGTAGGTCTGGGGCTGGTCGTGGCGCACGATGCTCTGGGAGGACACGGCCGCGGCGGAGGAGTAGTGCGGCTCCGGCAGGAGACCAGCCGCGGAGACGGTCAAGACGGCGCTCAAAGCAAGGATCTGGAATTTGTAAGTATTCATTAGTTACCTGTATTAAAATAAAAATAAAAAATTTAAATTATTTAATTTTATTTTTTGCTTACTTTGGTGAACATTGTTGTGCTAGTCTGATACACGACTGATGCATTGAATGAGTAGAGGCGCGCTTTTATACTACATGATGTGTTTCGGGTGTCACAAGGTCAACGGGTCACAGAGCTGCTGCTTGTATTTCAGACTCTAAAGCTTTCTTTATCGGTCACCTTAATAGACACTAGATTGTAACTTCAGTTATTGATAGGTTACAGATTCAGAATACTTACATGACCTTTACATAATACAAACAAATAGCATACTTTCCCATTACCTATACAGATAAAAATAATCCTAAGTTAAATCATTTCCTCAATTTATGGAAACTCATAGCTGCTTACTGTTTTGTTTTGTGTTTACTCGTTTCAGCAAAGAAGATGCGCATTAACGCGAGCTTTGACCTTACAACTACAACTTACCTACGTTTATACTACGAGTATTTTCCAGCGATGATTCATCCATTCATAAAGTAAACATCTCTATGTTTGATTCTAATGTATCTGTCAAGTCATTTATTAATGTTTTACAAGCTTTCATTTGGCTCCCCGGTGTCTGTTAGTGGCAGATTAAGGCTTGGTTGCACCATCTTACTATAACAAACGTCAAAAATCTGTCAAACTTCGAACAAAATTCACCGGTTATCGTTAATAGTTACGGTTAAAGTTAGATGGTGCAACTCAGAATAAATACGTTTAGAGCAAAGGCTCAATAGGCTAGTTTCCTAAAAAAAATGTTTAGGTAGTCCGTCAATTTTGAAATTGGACTCGTATATTTTTAATTGTCAATCAAACAAATAATTACAAAGATAATTATAGTGCGTTGAAGTTCCGCGCGACGTCACATAGTGCTGCACTTTTAAGCACTCATTGACGTCACGGGCCTTTTCTTTAGAACTTTGACACGCTTTATATCTTCACATTTTCATTAGTTTGAAAAAGTGAAAAATACGTGTGGAGTATTTTTTGATAAGCTAACTGACGGACTAATTAAAACTCTTGCTTTTTTACACAGGAAACATCCCTATTTAAAGATAGTAAAGATATATCGAATGACGATGCAATATTTTGGGTTAATACATCAAAATTAAATAAATCTGTTTTATTTTTATTTTCATGAGTCCTATGTTTGTTCGAAAGTTGTGTATGTTTAGATTTTACATAAGTAAGTAGTGTAAAAGTTTCATTACGAGTAATTTCTTAGGCAACTAACTACTTCAATAAGCATAATTCATAATCGTGCAGTAGGTATAATAGGTCAAAAATATCCTACGGAAATAATAAGTCCACATTTTTAATACATAAGTATCGAGTAAAAATTAAAATGTAAAGCAAGGTCAATGACAAAATAATACACAATTATACACGTGTGGCATTTAGGTACAAAAAGAATAAAGTTTTGGCCTAGTTTTAAGGTCATGGATAGCAAGCATGTACGATCACGTCAGAAGGCATTACGCACTTCATGTGTTACACATTAATACATTTAAAAAAAAAAGTTCAAAATTGTGAGACTCAAATGATAAGATAAACTTGAAAGAACAGTCGTTTTACCAATTAAAGGAAGTGGTTTATTATGTAATTCTGTGTCGTTTCGGATTTTTTATAAGTGATAATTTCCGCTCCAATAGCTATTAATGCCGTTTTCACCATCAATCCCTAATTTTTAAGTGACCCCAACACAGTGGGAGCACATAACAAGAATTTTGTTTTCATAGGGGTTATGTAGGTATAACGTACTTAAAAATTAAGGATTGATGGTGAAAACGGGCATAAGTCTCCCAGCTGACTTGGATATTGTTTTATGTACGTACTTATCATTTCTCGACAAAATCAATTACAGAAGCCCAACACCATAATATTATTGAANAATCACAGCTGCAAAATTGTATTAACGTAAGTTGTAAGGTCAAAGCTCGCGTTAATGCGCATCTTCTTTGTTGAAACGAGTAAACGCTTGTAGCTAGGAGCTTCTAAAATTGAGGAAATTATTTAGCTTTTATTATATATCTATGTAAGGGGCAAGTATGTTATGTGTACATGTATTTCGTAAAGGTCGTTTAAGTATTCTGAATCTGTAACCTATCAATAACTTTTTTATTTATTTACCTTTAACAACATATTAAATGGAGTTAAAGTACAATCTAGTATCTATTAAGGTGATCTATAAAGAAAGCTGTCTGAAACACAGGCAGCAGCTCTGTGACCCGTTGACCTTGTGACACCCGAAACACATCATGTAGTATAAAAGCGCGCCTCTACTCATTCAATGCATCAGTCGTGTATCAGACAAGCACAACAATGTTCACCAAAGTAAGCAAAAGTATATTAATATAAGAATACATATTTTTTTATTATAATACAGATAACTAATAAATACTTAAAAATTCCAGATCGTAGCTTTGAGCGCCATCTTGGCCGTCTCCGCGGCTGGTCTCCTGCCGGAGCCGCACTACTCCTCCGCCGCGGCCGTGTCCTCCCAGAGCATCGTGCGCCACGACCAGCCCCAGACCTACGCCACCAAGCTGGTGGCCGCGCCCGTCGCCAAAGTGGCCGTAGCCGCCCCCGTGTACCACGCCGCCCCCGCCGTCGCCTACCACGCCGCCCCCGCCCACTACTCGTCCGCCGACGCCGTGTCCTCCCAGAGCATCGTGCGTCATGACCAGCAGCCCTCGGCCAAGCTCGTAGCCGCCGCCCCCGTCTACCACGCGCCCGCCCAGGTCGCCTACCACGCGCCCGCCCAGGTCGCCTACCACGCCGCGCCCGCCGCCGTGACCTACCACGCTGCCCCCGCCCCAGTCGCTTACCACGCTGCCCCCGCTGCCGTCGCCTACCACGCCGCCCCTGTCGCCAAGGTGATCGCCCCCGCCGCTAAGGTCCTCGTCGCCCACCACGAGGAGGAATACGTAAGTACACTGTCTATACAGAACACATAACTGCAATCTGTAAAGAGAAGTGCGTTCTAATCGTAGCTTTGTTTCCCAGGCTCACCCCAAATACGAGTACTCGTACTCCGTCGCCGACGGCCACTCCGGCGACAACAAGTCCCAGCACGAGAGCCGCGACGGCGACGCCGTGCACGGCGAGTACTCCCTGGTGGAGGCTGACGGCTCCATCCGCAAGGTCGAGTACTCCGCCGACGACCACAACGGCTTCAACGCGGTGGTCAGCCACTCCGCGCCCGCCCACCACGCCGCCCAAGCCCACGCGCCCGTCCTCCTCGCTCACCACTAAGTCAATTTAAACGAACGAAACAAAGATGTAGCTGATAAGAAATGCATTGTAAATAGTGCTTATTTATTACACAAAATAAAGAGATCAAACTCTTAGTTTCGATTTTCATTTTAATTCGTTTTACAATTCGTATTCTTAATTATGCTCGAATCATATCTATAAGAAACAGTCCTCCTATTTATGAAGCAAATACCTACTGCATTTGCTTTGCTGCCAAGCCTTATCTTGTAACAAGACAACATCTCAATTTCAAAAGGAAATAAGTCTGTCTTTGTATGACGATTTGTTTTTTTAAAACGCCAGACTCAGTAGGTGTTCTATAAATTATCAAAATATCCTACTAATATCCGGTACCTACTTCAAGAAGACTCCCGTACTTACTGCATGAAAAATAATGAGAGCGTAATCGTTTAATCGTAGGTAATAGTCATGACAACGGATTGTTAAAAGCTTTCGAAAATCTCGAAATCGGTGTTCATTAACAGTTTATTCGTGTAAATCAAGCGAGATAATATGCGTGACTATCAATTATCTTTATTTTACAAACTGTATATTCTCTCAATGTATCATAATTTTTTAAATTTAAATATTTAGCAGGACCTTACAATTTGAAATTTATTTATTTCGTGAAGACATGAAATGTTAATAAAGTTTGTTTGTGAATACTCTTATCTCATGAACTTTTAGTGTAATTATAGCCTATTTATATCATCACGCTAAGGGTGGTTAATCCACCCTTAGCGTGATGATATAAATAGGCTATATAAGTAAGATAAGTGGTGGGCCACATGGAAAGCATTGGGGAGGCCTATGTTCAGCAGTGGACGTCCTATAACTGAGATGATAATGATGATGATGATAAGGGTGGATTCGACCAAACAAGAAAAAATATTAATCTCAGAATAAATCGTCAGTTATTCGACATTTTGACATATTTCCCATACTGAAACTGTCAATGTGCCAGTTATACCAGGAGTTATTCTCGGATAAAAGTTTGGTCGAATCGGGCCTAAATCAAGTAACTATTCCACGCGGAGGAAGTCGTGAGCAGAAGCTAATCGGATTAATAAGCTCATTGCTAGCGAACTTGCTGCACCTGTATTTTTAACTGACTTCAAAAAAGGAGGAGGTTCTGAATTCGAGTGTATATTTTTTTTAATATTATTATTTTTTGAATTGTTATTTTATGTATGCTATACCCTACCATACCAGCGCTTCGAGACCAACATTTGGAAAGTGCTGAGAAGAAGCGCCGCAACAAACTCAGTCGCCACTTGTTATGAATAAATAGAAATAGCAGTAGTAGGTACCTACATTATTGATTCAGGAGCAGTTCTCTGTATTTACCAGGCATTTTTGTATGTTGTACCTTACAAGATCTTATATAACTTAGTAATTTAAAAATAATAAGTTACATATTGGATAAATTAATAGGTATTAATATAAAATCCACGTTATGTAATTCAGTCTAATATGGTGATACTATTTTCCCATTCATTCTCACCACTGCGATTCGTGTTCAGTAAATAGACTACTTCACCGTCCCTGAATACTCAATCGACGAAGGTTTTTAAGCCATCGTTGCAGCTTCAGCAAAAAATTAATAGATGGTAGGTATTCGTAGCTAAGGTGGTATTATGCTTCAGTTCAAAGACGATGACAGAATGACTATATTGACTATAGACACAGACTGTATGAGACCCACGCAAGTAGTTAGCTACATATCAATAATATTTATAGTATAAAAGTAGTGACGCAAAAATTTTAATCCCGGAAAGAACGGTAGGTATAATATAGCAGAAACTGAAAAATACTAATTTCCGTTTTCACCATCAATACCAAATTTTTAAGTGACCTCTGTGGTAACACATAACAGGAATTTTGTTTTCATAGGGGTCACTTAAAAATTAGGGATCGATGGTGAAAACGGGCATAAGTAGATTGAATTCACCTATTTTATCGGGCTTTAAATGTGTACCTAGTGTAATCTATGATTTTTTTTAATTTTAGTAGATTTGCAGTGAAGACGTCCATTAATTATTAGTGTTTATTGTGTAAGTATATTTAAATTTTAATACCAATAACAGTTTTTTCATGAAAAGGAAATTGGTGATTGAATAAAAATATTGTAAATTTATATCACATTTGCTGTTTTATTTAATTAATAAATAATTACTATTAACACATTTTGGTTCATAACATTATTTTTTGACTAGTGTTTTATTAGTGGNTTTGTGTTTACTCGTTTCAGCAAAGAAGATGCGCATTAACGCGAGCTTTGACCTTACAACTACAACTTACCTACGTTTATACTAAGAGTATTTTCCAGCGATGATTCATCCATTCATAAAGTAAACATAGAGTGATTGTAATGTATCTGTCAAGTCATTTATTAATGTTTTACAAGCTTTTTATTTGGCTCCCCGGTGTCTGTTACTGGCGGATTAAGGCTGGGTTGCACCATCTTACTATAACAAACGTAAAAAATCTGTCAAACTCCGAACAAAATTCACCGGTTATCGTTATAGTTACGGTTAAAGTTAGGTGGTGCAACTCAGAATAATACGTTTTGAGCAAAGGCTCAAATATTAATTCACAGTAAAGATAGTAAAAACATATCGAATAACGATACAATATTTTGGGTTAATACACGGCTTGCTTTTTACTTTTAAAATTAAATAAATCTGTTTTATTTTTATTTTCATGAATAGTATTTTTGTTCTAAAGTTGTGTATGTTTAGATTTTACATAAGTAAATACTGTAAAAGTTTAATTACGAGTAATTTCTTAGGCAATAATTCATAACTGTGCAGTATAATAGGTCAAAAATATCCTACGGAAATAATAAGTCCACATTTTTAAGACATAAGTATCGAGTAAAAATTAAAATGTGAAGCAAGGTCAATGACAAAATAATACATAATTATACACGTGTGGCATTTAGGTACAAAAAGACTAAAGTTTTGGCCTAGTTTTAAGGTCATGGATAGCAAGCATGTACGATCACGTCAGAAAGCATTACGCACTTCATGTGTTACACATTATATGCATTTAAAAATAGTTCAAAACTGTGAGACTCAAATGAAAAGATAAACTTGAAAGAGCAGTCGTTTTACCAATTAAAGGAAGTGGTTTATTATGTAATTCTGTATCGTTTCAGGGCAAAATGCTGCCGTCGTCTTTTATAGGCGATAATTTCCGCTCCAATAGCAATTAACGCCCGTATTCACAAACGATGCTAGCTTAAGTGATGCACCAAATCGAACGCACAGCGTTGAATAGAGCTCTGTGATTGGTTCGTGTGTCACCCTGTGCGTCCACGCGCACTTTTAGACCTCATAGTAATGTTTGTAAGTACGGGCGTAAGTCTCTCAGCTGACATGGATATTGTTCTATGTACGTACCTATCATTTCTCGACAAAATCTATTACAGAAACCCAACACCATAATTATTATTGAAGTCTCGTACTGCGACGTTCTGAATCCTTGAAAATACGGTCCGGTGTAGTCTTAGAAATATTTTTAAAGTAATTTTCGCACTTTATAGTTCCGAATTCCGTCATCTTAATTTTCTCTAATTAGTTTCCTAGATCCATAATTATGACGGATTCGAATGAGACCTGGTTGGAAATCGTCTTTAGGATAATCATAATGGATTCGAAACTTTCTGTGATTATAATTTTGTAGACTGACATTTGACAACCAAATTACATTTTTGCCATTGGAGAGTTAGGGATAACGTCAAATGTGTACATGTACAGTAGCGAAATGAAATATATGTATTATTTTTCAAATTCAAAAAGATGGGAACTGTACATTATCAGCATTTAAATTTATTGCGCAGATGCATGCGTAATCAAGCCGAATGCATCTTATTGCATTACCGACAAGGTAGTGAGAATTCCCATTTTCGTTTTATCACGTTCATTATGACATTGTTTTTTACTGTTCCTTAAATCCCTAAGTTGCATCTATTCGATAGTCATACTTATTAGCATACATACCTTCTTATTTTTTTTCCTTTTCTCTTAAATTCAATGTGGGGGTAATTTTCAGCACTTAAGTGCAGTGGTGGTTTAGTAAAAGTACATACGTTTTAACAATTTCTTTTTTATTTATAAATAATTGACTATTTACAACATTTACTCTTTCTCAGAGTAATAATAATCACATTCTGTCAGTCAGTATTGCTTAGTAGTTCAACATTAGTGGTGAGCGAGGAGGACGGGCGCGTGGGCTTGGGCGGCGTGGTGGGCGGGCGCGGAGTGGCTGACCACCGCGTTGAAGCCGTTGTGGTCGTCGGCGGAGTACTCGACCTTGCGGATGGAGCCGTCAGCCTCCACCAGGGAGTACTCGCCGTGCACGGCGTCGCCGTCGCGGCTCTCGTGCTGGGACTTGTTGTCGCCGGAGTGGCCGTCGGCGACGGAGTACGAGTACTCGTATTTGGGGTGAGCCTGGGAAACAAAGCTACGATTAGAACGCACTTCACTCTTTACAGATTGCAGTTATGTGTTCTGTATTGACAGTATACTTACGTATTCCTCCTCGTGGTGGGCGACGAGGACCTTAGCGGCGGGGGCGATCACCTTGGCGACAGGGGCGGCGTGGTAGGCGACGGCAGCGGGGGCAGCGTGGTAAGCGACTGGGGCGGGGGCAGCGTGGTAGGTCACGGCGGCGGGCGCGGCGTGGTAGGCGACCTGGGCGGGCGCGTGGTAGGCGACCTGGGCGGGCGCGTGGTACACGGGGGCGGCGGCTACGAGCTTGGCCGAGGGCTGCTGGTCATGACGCACGATGCTCTGGGAGGACACGGCGTCGGCGGACGAGTAGTGGGCGGGGGCGGCGTGGTAGGCGACGGCGGGGGCGGCGTGGTACACGGGGGCGGCTACGGCCACTTTGGCGACGGGCGCGGCCACCAGCTTGGTGGCGTAGGTCTGGGGCTGGTCGTGGCGCACGATGCTCTGGGAGGACACGGCCGCGGCGGAGGAGTAGTGCGGCTCCGGCAGGAGACCAGCCGCGGAGACGGCTAAGATGGCGCTCAAAGCTACGATCTGTGAATAAAACCACACTTTCAATAAAAGTCCTGCACACACTTCACTTATTGATCCATATTTGTATTCCAATGATAGACACTCACTTTGGAGAACATTGTTGTAATGACTATGATACAACTGATGCATTACGTACGGTAACAAGCGCTTTTATACTAGGTGAATTTTGGGTGTGACAAGGTCGACGAGTCAGGCCATTTAATAAGTATAATTTGCATTAAAACTATGTCAATCTTTTTCTACGATGTGTTAATCTGTCATTTACTATGCTTTTCTATAAAATATTTTACTCAAATTGTATTGGTCATCGATTTCCTATTCAATTAACGGAGTCTTTATTTAGACTCTCAGAGTCCTTATAAAATTTCTACCTTAGATAAAAATGGATTTATATTATAAGTTTAGATTAGTAAATCTGGTCGATTGTATTAAAAAAAAAACGATATGTCATTCATTAACATTAATAGGTAATCCGTTTACCTCGCTGTAAGAGTAGCCCCTTGGTAACATGTGTTGACATTGAAATTTATTACTTGGAAGCAGTGATGGTTGACCTTATAATTTGGTATTGAATGCTTTTGTTTTTAATTTTAAATTTTTTTTTTTTTTTTTATGTTGTTGAATGATAATACTATCATTCAACAACATTGTATACTTAAACTGTATACACAGTAGAGCATGAAAAAAATTGTAAGTTTAAGGCTGAGCTGCACCATTTTTCTTTAATTTTGAAAAACGTCTAAAATTTGTGAAACACCATACAAAAAACACTAGTTATCGTTATAGTTACGGTTAAAATAAGGTGGAAAAAGAAAACAACTTTGATTTAGCTTTGACTATTTAACTTTATTTGTCTCTATCGATATTAATTAAAACATAATTTAACAACAAACTGTGGCGCCTTAAAAGTAGATTCAACAACGAATTTCTTAATGGTGCTTGTGTTCCTCGACGTGCTTGGTGGTGTGTTTCACTTCAGCTTGGAATCTGGAAAGGACAATAAATCTATAAATATAAAAATGAATCGCAAAATGTGTTTGTAGCGCATAACTCAACACCTCAACCAATTTTAACAATTCTTTTTTAAATGTTCGTTGAAGTTCAAGGATGGATTTTACGACGAGAAAAAGAATTAATTTTAGGGAAAACCCTAAAAAAAGCTCTTTTTTCACTGGTGAAGCCGCGGGCAGAAAGCTAGGAACTAAATAAATGAGATCCCACCATACTGTAACAAGATGAATCTGGTTTGTGGACTGCCTGACTGACTGGTAGAGTTCTACGTCTAGCGTGGAGAACACACTGTAGTTTAGGAAATTTTAGGCCGACATTATCATCAATTTTAGTAACGATCTTTTCTAATTTATATTTTATGTAATTAGAGACTTCTTTACTTAGATGCAGAGCCTTTGCTTTGGTCGCAATAGCAATGCTAATATTTTGTTTGACATTATTAAGGGCCCTCGCCCACGGCGACTTTTTGTAGCGATGCAGTCGCGCTGCTGTAGCGCGTTAGTAGCGCGTTGGCATCACTTCTGTAGTGCGTTGCAAATGAGACTAACGCGCGTTAGTAGCGATGTTGTCGTGCGTGTACGAATCGCCGTGGGCGAAAGCCCTAAGATCCCATGTTAGTATAATTCTGCTGCAAGCTTTTCAGGACTAAATACACAAATTCTGATTTCAGTCTAAAGGAGCATCATCTCTTACCCGGTCTTCTTGTCGGCGTGGTACTTGACGGTGCGCACGGAGCCGTCGTGCTCGTGCAGGCTGTAGGCGCCCTCCACCTTGTGCCCGTCGCGGGACTCGTGGTGCTGCTTGATGTCGCCGGTGTGGGCGTCGTGCACCTTGTATTCGAACTCGTACTTCGCGTGACCCTGAGTCAAAAAGGTTAATTGGATCAGTATAATAAATATACATGTTTGTATTAATTATACGTGGGAAATTGTTTTAAATAGCCAAGAATCAGCTAGGCGAGAATTGACACTAACATTATTGGAGCCAATGATATTATATAAAAACAAAAGCAGATATGTTATAAGCGCTCGCGCTGTGAATACTCAAATACGTCCCAATTGGGACGTCTTGTGTTTAGTCTTCGTGTGGCCTGCGTCGTGCGCAATNCGGCGTGGTAGGCGACTTGGGCGGGGGCGGCGTGGTAGACAGGGGCGGCTACGGCCAGCTTGGCAGACGGCTGGTCATGACGCACGATGCTCTGGGAGGACACGGCCGCGGCGGAGGAGTAGTGTGGCTCAGGCAGAAGGCCAGCCGCGGAGACGGCCAAGATGGCGCTCAAAGCTACAATCTGAAATTTAAAAATATTTATTAGTTAAATGAATAGCTGATTAAATTAATGAATTATTATTTTAATTTTCTCTTAGCTTACTTTGGAGAACATTGTTGTGCCTGTCTGATACACGACTGATGCATTGAATGAGTAGAGGAGCGCTTTTATACTACAAGATGTATTTCGGGCGTGACAAGGTCGACGGGTCACGAAGCTGCTGCTAGTGTTTCGATCCAGAGCTCTCTTTGGAGATCATTTATGTAGATAAAAACGAGATTTAAAATAGACTCTCTAAAGCTGCAAGTATGAATTCATAACTAAAATACTTTAAAAAATCCCTAATTTGGCTTTTGATGAAAAAGTAGATTATGTTATTAGTATTATCTTAACAACCTGTGACAAAAAAAATTTACATCCAATCCAATCTAAATTAATAACAAATTCATTTGCGAGCTGCATTAATAGATGATGCGCATGCTTAACGCGAGCTTTGACCTCAAAGATTATGTAAATGAATGGTGATGATTCATCCATTCATAAGTGGTTGATAAATAAAACGAAGACGATCTTGTAATACTACAGACGAGACGAGACCGGTCTGTCTGCCGAGTCACGTTTGCCATTTAAGTATGAATTTCACTGATATTGTATACTCATGGTGTTTTCTATGTATAATATGTATGTATTTACGAAAAACAAGTATTTAAGTATGTTTTATCCGTTGTCTAGTACCCATAGTAGGTACAAGCTTTGCTTAGTTTGGGACTTGAAGCGAAGTGTAAAATGTCCAAGGATATATTATATTATTTATTATATAAATAGATAAGTTACATAATTACTGCCTAGTCATTTGATTCGACTTGTATTTTTGTTGAACTTTAAATATGATATTTTACTCAGAAAAGTTTTTGAACAAGATGAGAATCGTTTCAGCCAAATGACGTCCACTGTTGGACAAAGGCCTTCCCCAAGGCTTTCCATAAGATGAACCATGATTCCAAGGCTTTTCTTAACATAAGAATATGGTAAAGAAATGGAAGCGAATTCCCGACCTTGCGCTTGGCAAGTGACTACTTGAATTACCGACCTTCATTGACCAAAAAGTAAAACATTGGTATCAAAATTTTGAAGCCATTTTATGCCGCGAATATTATCTGTATTTTATTACTTTGCTCGCATTTCCAACGGAAATAAAAATCACATTACAGAATACTGGTTAAAAAGTAGACTATAAAGCAAAGTTCAATGACAATATCAGTTAATTATTACAGTATGGCATTTCGGTATAGAGTTACAGGCACAAAGTTAAAGTTCTGACCTAGTTTTAAGGTCATGGATAACCACATAGCCGGTGAGTTCGCGTCAAAAAGTATTACACACTGCATGCATTATATTTTATTCATAACAAAGATCATGTGTGAGGCCCAAGCGTTAAAATACAGCGGTGAAAACTTTTTCCTGTTTCGTATTATCTGGTTTACATGTTTTTTCACTTTTAGGTGGTGATTTCGTTCAGTAATATTATGTAATTTGTTAAGTACCTATTCCTAACGGAGTAAGCGATTCTCATTGAACATAAATGATAAATTCCTACTTTTAAGTAACCTACTTTTACTAAATTATAACTGTCTAAGACGGGAATCGAACCCACACACCTTTCGCCTGCTGGGCGTCGGGCGACTGCACTTCCATCTGAGCTGAACCACCTGAACTTAGAACCTTGACGATAACGATTCCTTGACGATAGCGGTTCGATTTTTTCAAGTCAGTTTGAGTAGCAACTCTAAATGCTAAGAAATTTTAATAACTACTTTTACTATGAAAGGACTTTTGGTTTTCGCTTAGATTGTAAAAATGACACGACTCTTTTAACTTGCACCAAACACGAAATGCCTGAGGCAATGGCCCACACTCAATCATGTGTCAACAACTTATCTTCCATTTGTAGATAAACTATACATAAATACTTGAACCACTTATTTAGAATAGATTTCTTACTTAATTCCAATCAATTTGAATGACATGTTTTTTTAAATACATTGTCCTACTATTTTATAGAGCTTCTACGAGTAGACTCAATGTTACATTTTTAAAATGTCAACATTCGTTTTTGTAAGAGATTTTTGAAAATATACCAGTCAGTTTAGTTAGAATTTACATTATCTTTTGTTTACAAGTAGGTAGATCAGTCAACCACAACCTATTATTATCAAAATTATTATTTTGATGATGTAGAAGATGATCAAAATATTCTGTTTAGTTAGACTCAACTGACCTAGAAAAAAATATGCCGTTCTCGTGTGTATATTTGATCCAGTTCCGTTGAGCTAGGGAAAACATCTCTATTGTTATTAACGTGAGCTGATAATGCCTATACGATGACACAATCCTGTTCTTCATACACCAGCAAACAATAGTCCTAAAGCGATATAATAGTTCAACGTTGACATCACAGCTTAGCAAATGAAAACATCTTTTTACACAAGGGCTCTGCCCGTGTACAGACACGGTCGCCATTCAAGCATAGAAACGTTTAAAATAGAGCATCAGAAACAAGAAAAAAAGGTGAAAGGTCTGACCAATAGGCTTTGTTAAGGACCCACGTGCCGGAAGCCAACAAACAATAATTACTCTACATACTTTGTAGCTATCATAATATTTGTTATATAACAAGTGATTTCTCTTTATGATTAGTCTTCATATATAAGTGGTGAAGTAATTTGCATCCGAGCTCAAATACTTCCGACGTTCGACAGCCATAGATACTTCGGGAAAATGTTACTCAAAGTGAGATGTTTTTTCTGTGAAGTGTGTGCTAAAAACTTGGTTTAAAGACAAAATTAAAGAGTGTGTTTGTGTTGCAGGTCATAACAGTGATATCACTTCTAAAAGTGTGCACCGGAGATGTCCCAGAGCATCATCAACCACAATCGAACCATGCGATCTCATCTCAGAGTTTCGTGCGGCATGATGTACCGTTATCCTACAAGTTTAGTTCGGTTCATATCTATACTTCACCAAAGCCAGATCAATACAGACACAAGCCAGTTGTCCCAGCACAATTTGTGATCAGAGAGCCACCTCAAATACAGTACGCACCAATTCATAATGGTCAGAATCAATACCAATCAATACCTAGCCCTAGCCATATCAATTTAGCGCCTGAACGTAATTTGGAACCCAAACCATCTGATGATTTACCAAGTATAATCGGTCAGCCAGAACATTTGTCGTATGTGCCGGGGTATAATGTCGAGGTTCTTCAGTCCGTCAACAGGTATCCTGGGCATAATGCTGTGTACAGGAGCTATCCTAACATGTCTCCTAGCGACAAGCTAAACAAGGTAAAACATCAACTTATCGTAAGAACTGAGTAGAGCAACTACACTATTACGCTTTTGTAACGATTACAATCTTTTTCCAGATCAATTTCTTAAATCAATATGTTCTTTATCAAAAGCAAAACGAGGAGTTCATTACATCAACTCAGGCACCAAAGCAGCATGAAGTCACTATCACAGCACCGACGCCTGCGCGACCAAAACAGACAATAGCGTTTGTGAAAAAAGAATACAACAAACAAAAACCACATCCGTAAGTAAATATTTTTCATGACACATACAAAATGTATAGTTTATTTGTACATCTACATCCTAATATTTCTCTGATACACCAATGTTGCCTATTTAAGAGTTCTGTTGGTATAACTTTGCACAAGAAATTACCTAAAAATGATGACTAAAATCTACTGAGTTTTATTGATTGACTGAGTTGCACCATCTTACTTTAACTTTTGTTATAGTTACGGTCAATTTGATGCAACTCAGCCTAAGAATTAGATCTTCTCCCATCATATTACACTATAATGTGTAATCTATAAATGTAGAGTTTTCATAACAATCAGTTGTTATCCTATTGCAGTTGAATGTCTATTATATCTTCAATTGTCACATTCCAGGTTCCACGGTGGCAATCCACTGAGTGTACAAGCTCTACCTCGACTGAATGTACAAGCTATACCTGTATCGCAAGCGATTATGAGCGTCGAAGAGTATTTGCCGCACCCCAAAGCCCACAGAATGCTTTTGAACATAGCGCGCACGTACAACATTGCTCGCGGACAACTGAAGGCGCAACACGCTGGACTCACGTTCAACAACCCTACACACACCCAAGCATTTATCCAAATAAAAAACCCTTTAGAAGCTGACAAAAGCACCTTGCTCTCAGTCCAGAACAAAAACTTGTATTCGCCGGTGCATAAAAACCCGTAAATAGCTATGTAATTGTCATAACGAAGGTTTATTCCTTAGTGGTTATTTATGCAATGATAAACATCAACATAATTAAATGTTAGTGGGCACAAAATAAAAACAAATGATTATGCTACACTGTTATGATATTGGAATAAACATCCTGAAATTGTTTGTTAATAGGGCGTAGAATATTTAGTTGTAGAGTTCTCTTTTTGTAAAAGCTATTAACACTTTATATTCTTTAAGAAATTATGTAATATAATTTCTATTTGTTATCATATTTTTAAGTATAATTATTAGGAACTGTTAATTTATTACACCTTACAAACTTTTGCATGTGTTTTATTACAAGAAAGAAAACATTGATCTAACTACAAACCTACTTGTTGCAGTGACCTAAGATAATCAACTTAGTACTAAGCATGCCACTGGGGTTAGGTAATATTTTTGACACATAAAATTATGATAAGATCTAAGGACGAAATTCTCAATTGTGAAAGTTATCTTGTGACTGGGTACTAGATTTGTCAAAACATAACCCGAGGCAAGGTTGTTTGGTTTAGTTGTGAGTTGCCTTAAGCCTACTATGCCGAACGAGTTACTATAAAATAGGCGGTCGAAGACTATAGGCTATAGTCATTTGTTACTCATAACAAAATACAAACATGTTCTCCAAAGTGAGTTAAAGTTTTTTTACAGATTTGTTCTATAAATGTAACCTTATTTAAAGCTGACCAAAGCTAGCATTTCCTTCCTCCTAAAAAAATACCAGTGAAATAAAAGTGATGGTGATAAATGAAAGTGATTTAAGTAGTGTTCAAGTGCTGTTAAAGGATTATTTTGTATTATAGGTGGTAGCTCTCTGCGCCTTCGTGGCTGTGGCCCAGGCTGGCCTCCTGGCCGCGCCCGCCCACTACTCCTCCGCCGCGGCGGTCTCTTCCCAGAGCATCGTGCGCCACGACCAGCCCGCCCCCGTCGCCAAGCTCGCCGTGGCCGCCCCCGTGTACCACGCCGCCCCCGCCCCCGTCGCCTACCACGCCGCCCCCGCCGCCGTCACCTACCACGCCGCCCCCGCCCCCGTGGCCTACCACGCCGCCCCTGCCGTCGCCTACCACGCCGCTCCCGTCGCCAAGGTCCTGGCTCACGAGGAAATCGTACGTACCGTTTTATTATTTACTGCAATATAATAAATCATTTCTTGCTATAAGTTATAAACATTGGATAGGATTCTTAAACAGATATTTTTCATTCTTCCAGGCGCACCCCAAATACGAGTACACCTACTCCGTCGCTGACGGCCACACCGGCGACAACAAGTCCCAGCAGGAGTCCCGCGACGGCGATGTGGTGAAGGGCTCTTACTCCTTCCACGAGGCTGACGGCTCCATCAGGACCGTGGAGTACACCGCCGACGACCACAACGGCTTCAACGCGGTCGTGCACAACACCGCCCCCACCGCCGCCCCTGTCGTGGTTAAGGCCGCCCCTGTTGTGTACAAGGCCGCCCCTGTTGTGTACAAGGCCGCCCCCGTTGTGTACAAAGCCGCCCCCGCTCTCCAGTACTACCACCACTAATTTCTTAGGCACCATTCTTTAAGAAATGGACTGATCAATTATTTATTGAAATACACGAATAAGTTCGAATAAATCAATTTCCGTTTTAATTACCTTTAGCTTTATGAATATAGTAAGTAGGTACGTTCCAAACCCAAAAGCAAGATTTTTCTCACAGTCAATATTGTATGCTCCAACCAACTTAATTTTCCATGCATGTCGGCCCTTAGTTCAACAAGCTATTGCCTTCCTATGAAGGGTTATAAAGAAGTCTCGTCATCGATTGTTACTACAAGTGTCTTCAAAGGGAAGACCCCAAACCCAATATCAGCAACCGGGGCTATGGAGTTATGGTGCCTATAGCATCTCTAATTTCAAAGCATACAAACTGATAATTTATTAACTTAACTAGCCTATCCTAGACAATTATTCGAATCAAGTTTTTAAGTAGTAGTTTAAAAAAAAAACATAAGTTGAAAAATAATGGTTTCTGTAAAGAAATGCTGATTACATTTTTTTTCTTGGCTTTTGTGGTTTGCGTTTAGCCACAACGGTATTTAGATGTTTGTTTTACACAAATATTCATAGCTCCCTCTTCATGCTTGCAGCTCCGAGTTTTTCCAACAATTTTTTCCTGATGTCAACCGGAGGAGGGAAAACTGTGGGGGACAACGGGAATACACTGGTACTGGTAGTGAGGCCCAATGAGCACTATGAATAAAGATCGTAACTGGTAGTTGAGCAAACCTAATTTGTTTATAAATACCTACACGAAGTTTGGTCGCTCAGATATGTTAGATACAGAAAAGTTGCAAAGCAAAATTGATGTAACTTTTGGATACAAAAAAGTAATTAAGATACCTGTAGTTATCTGGTAAACAAATGAATCTATTTATTTTACATACAGGAATATAGAGAGATGCATTTAGTGCAAAAAGAAATAAAAATTTACTAAAAAACATCTTTATTTACATTGGACTGTGTGCCTCGCGCGACTGGATCGTGGTTAATTATCCCAGCTTTTATCATAATATTTTTGAATAAACAATTTAAAAAATATCGTATCCTAATTTATTTCCCTTTTTCCTCATTGCGTAATCACTACTTACGATATAGGAGAGGCATGCTTTTACATGGATGACTTGTAAATGACGAGGGCATCGGTAGCATAGAGCAGCAAACAGTTCAAGAATTGGCTAGACACGAGCTAGTTAGGCTAGTTTCAAGCGTCACGAGTAATGAAAAACTTCATCAAAATTTAAAAGTCAATAATAAGCAAAAGCCTGCACATGATGTCGTGCCCTGCGTACCCAAACAACTGCACGCAGGAAGATTTACCTAATGAAGGCTACTGACAACGCCACTCTTGTGGCGGAGTTTTGGACTGAAAGTCTGTAAGGTTTGTTATCGACACGACAAGAAGAAGAACACCCAAAAGAAGTTTTTAGGAGGCTTTTACTTGGGTAGTGTTGGATCCGTAACCCAGCATGCAGCTCGTAACAGTTCGCCGGGAACTCGTAATCAATACTAGGCTGAAGAACAGCAATAAGTATTAGGCGGCTTCTGCAAAAATTACCTGTCGCACCAGTAAACCGCATTACGAGAACATAAGAACGATTTAAGTAACTGTTGATGTATCAGAAGGGGCGACTACATGAACGCCTCCTCGATGATGGAGCGTAGAGGCGACCTCTCCTTCAATATGGCAATATGTAACAAAAAAATATTAAAAAATATACCAAACATAATTTCATAACATGCCCTTATATTATCACGCCAAGCGCCATCTACAACGATGTCTACAGTAAAGTAGACATTTTTTAAGCAGAAACAGAACCAGCACACTCAGAAACATACACGTATACACAATTTCTTTTGCATACTCGTACCTCGCCCTTACTTTCTTGATGAAACAAATAAATAAAAAATACATAACCCTTTCGCACCTGAATGAAACGATCGTGAGTTTCTTCTTTGAAAAATTATAAGTTCGCGCCAAATTCGTTTCTCCGCGCCAAACCGACCTCACTTGATCGTGCGCTTCTCGATCTAACCAATAAAAAACAGTTTTGGCGGCTAAATGAATCAGTAGCCGAGAGCGCACCGGAAAAATGGCTGCGTTTCTTGACCCCGTCACTGGACGTCGTAAGTAATATTTATTTTATTGCAATTTTCGTAGGAATTCATTGATATTTTGATTGTATTACATCATTAAATGTATGTTGCATCTGAATAACTATAAATTTCTTCTATATTCTTAGCAATTACCCATTAAATTTATGAAAAAAATTCCNAATCAAGTTCTTTAAGTAGTAGTTTAAAAAAAAAACATAATATGAAAAATAATGGTTTCTGTAAAGAAATGCTGATTTCATTTTTTTCTTGGCTTTTGCAGTTTGCGTTTAGCCACAACGGTATTTAGATGTTTGTTTTACACAAATATTCATAGCTCCCTCTTCATGCTTGCAGCTCCGAGTTTTTCCAACAATTTTTTCCTGATGTCAACCGGAGGAGGGAAAACTGTGGGGGACAACGGGAATACACTGGTACTGGTAGTGAGGCCCAATGAGCACTATGAATAAAGATCGTAACTGGTAGTTGAGCAAAACTAATTTGTTTATAAATACCTACACGAAGTTTGGTCGCTCAGATATGGTAGATACAGAAATGTTGCAAAGTAAAATTGATGTAACTTTTGGATACAAAAAAGTAATTAAGATACCTGTAGTTATCTGGTAAACAAATGAATCTATTTATTTTACATACAGGAATATAGATAGACGCATTTAGTGCAAAAAGAAATAAAAATCTACGAAGAAAAGTAAAAAAAAAAAATCTTTATTTACATTGGACTGTGTGCCTCGCGCGACTGGATCGTGGTTGATTATCTTATCCCAGCTTTTATCATAATATTTTTGAATAAACAATTAAAAAAATATCGAATCGTAATTTATTTCCCTTTTTCCTCTTTGCGTAATCACTACTTACGATATAGGAGAGGCATAGCTAGCATGCTTTTACATGGATGACTTGTAAATGACGACGGCATCGGCAGCATAGAGCAGCAGACAGTTCAAGAATTGGCTAGACACGAGCTAGTTAGGCTAGTTTCAAGCGTCACACGTAATGAAAAACTTCATCAAAATTTAAAAGTCAATAATAAGCAAAAGCATGCACATGATGTCGTGCCCTGTGTACCCAAACAACTGCACGCAAGAAGATTTACCTAATGAAGGCTACTGACAACGCCACTCTTGTGGCGGAGTTTTGGGCTGAAACTCTGTAAGGTTTGTTGTCGACACGACAAGAAGAAGAATACCCAAAAGAAGTTTTTAGGAGGCTTTTGCTTGGGTATTGTTGGCTCCGCAACCCAGCATGCAGCTCGTGACAGTTCGCCGGGAAATCGTAATCAATACTAGGCTGAAGAACAGCAATAAGTATAGTAGGCGGCTTCTGCAAAAATTACCTGTCGCACCAGTAAACCGCATTGCGAGAACATAAGAACCATCTAAGTAACAGTTGATGTATCAGAAGGGGCGACTACATGAACGCCTCCTCGATGATGGAGCGTAGAGGCGCCCTCTCCTTCAATAAGGCAATATGTTACAAAAAAATATAAAAAATATACCAAACATAAGTTCATAACATGCCCTTATATTATCACGCCAAGCGCCATCTACAACGATGTCTACAGTAAGGTAGATATTTTTACTCTCTCTGTGATGCCACGTAATCCCTCGCCAAGTTTAATTTTTAAGCAGGAACAGAACCAGCCCACTCAGAAACATACACGTATAAATACACAATTTCTTTTGCATACCTAGCAACGGCTAGGTATGCAAAGTAGTCAAGAAAGTAACGACTTTCTTGATAAAACAAATAAATAAAAAAATACATAACCTGCAAAGATAATAATCTTTCCCAGACAAAAAATAATTAAAGAAAGAAGAATTAATTCTACCAATACCGGTAAAAAATGTTGCTTATTGATTGAAAATAAATTATTTTAATTCGACATCTTTAAAACTTACATTATAAAGCTTCTTTGAGTGAATATGATTAATCGACTGAAGATTACAATCTCAAATCCAATGAATGAAAATAATCGTGACAGTGCCCCACAGCCTGTAGCAAGGTCACTATCTCGATTGACAACTTCTCCTAACAGCACTACGTTCAATGATATTCGAATTGCCTATGCAAATTTTTATGCAGTATATAAACGAGTTCACTCAAAAAAGTTATCAGTATTCATTTAGTATTCACTCCAATAACAATGTTCTCTAAAGTAAGTTTGAGTTTAGGGATAATGATATAATATCTATTGTCATTTTCTCCTGAACTTCCTTAATTTTCTTATAAATTAATTAACAGGTGGTAGCTCTCTGCGCCTTCGTGGCTGTGGCCCAGGCTGGCCTCCTGGCCGCGCCCGCCCACTACTCCTCCGCCGCGGCGGTCTCTTCCCAGAGCATCGTGCGCCACGACCAGCCCGCCCCCGTCGCCAAGCTCGCCGTGGCCGCCCCCGTGTACCACGCCGCCCCCGCCCCCGTCGCCTACCACGCCGCCCCCGCCGCCGTCACCTACCACGCCGCCCCCGCCCCCGTGGCCTACCACGCCGCCCCTGCCGTCGCCTACCACGCCGCTCCCGTCGCCAAGGTCCTGGCTCACGAGGAAATCGTACGTACCGTTTTATTATTTACTGCAANCTACCACGCCGCCCCTGCCGTCGCCTACCACGCCGCTCCCGTCGCCAAGGTCCTGGCTCACGAAGAAATCGTATGTACCGTTTTATTATTAACTGCAATATATTAAATCAATTCTTGCTATAAAGTTATAAACATTGGATTGCATTCTTAAACAGCTATTTTTAATTCTTCCAGGCTCACCCAAAATATGAGTACACCTACTCCGTCGCTGACGGCCACACCGGCGACAACAAGTCCCAGCAGGAGTCCCGCGACGGCGATGTGGTGAAGGGCTCTTACTCCTTCCACGAGGCTGACGGCTCCATCAGGACCGTGGAGTACACCGCCGACGACCACAACGGCTTCAACGCGGTCGTGCACAACACCGCCCCCACCGCCGCCCCTGTCGTGGTTAAGGCCGCCCCTGTTGTGTACAAGGCCGCCCCCGCCCTCCAATACTACCACCACTAAATAATGAACATGCCATAACCAAAATTAGAACTGATAAATTATTTATTGCAAGATAAAAGAATATGTTTAAATAAACATTTACTTAAAAAATAATACTATATTATTTCCTTTTACCCATTTTAAGTGAAACAATAGTATAAACTTTTTAAAGTAGGTACACTGAGTTCGAGCTCAGGCTAACGTTTTATGGAACATTAATTAAAAATACTTTATAGTTCTCATGAAAGATCTATTTAAATTTTCTACGGACTAAAAATAAAACACTTTACTGTCTCTATATTATCAGTATTATTACACAATCAATATTACGTCCTGTAATTCGGACGGATTTAGCTTCTGTTAACGTTTACCGATTGAAATAGAGCGAAGTAAAATTATGTGCAATACAATATTAGGGTCTCGGCAAATGCACATGCGATGCTGCAAGTCATAAAAAATTACATTTTATGTATCACAATTTTATTCATCTTAATAAATTCAAATTTTACGTATAAGTTGCAGGTTGATTAACTCATGGTATTTAATGTGCTTTATATATTTATTTTTGAAACTACACACTCTACTTATTTAATGGGCTTCTGGCTGTGTGGCTTATGTATCGAACTACAATGCAAATAGGATTGGGGATTCGAACCCCGTAATGTTACGTGATGTGATGAATATGATTGGCAAGTACTACTGCGTCCCAAAAACCAAACCCAATCCAACCCTTGGATGGATGGATAAAATACAAGGAGTAATTTCAATTATCAGTTCCCTTGACAGTAACTTCTATTAGAGGCAAAACACTTACGACAGCACTTCTACGATTCCTCGAAACACTTTTCATACGCCGAAATTGGAATATCTTTCAACGTCTTCGTCGTATTTTCTTTTCCACCTTTATTGTCTACATGTATATTGTAGGTATACCCAGTCTTTTACGTATAACGTTTTCCAGACATCTTAAAAGTGACATAAATTAAAGTAAAGCGTGCATTTCTTTCTACTAGGTAATTCGTATAATAATTGGATCTTTATACCTAATCATTATTTTCAAAATTTAGGAATTTATGTTTTTATTTATAAGATCAAGATTCATAATAAAAAATGATCATTAAAAATCGAATTAACGATACCTTAGAAAATAAGACTACACCCGTTTTTCTACTAATCAAATTCGTGAGCTTATGATGTGACGTGAGGCATGAACTTAGTTAAATAAAAAGGTAATCGATAAACTAATACTTACATGAACAGGCGTAATGAAAATTCATTTAATACTAGCGGCCGCCCTCGACTTAGTACGCGTGGACCCCGTTTTACCCCCTTAGGAGTTGAATTTTGGAAATCTCGCCGTAAAAACCATCCTTGGACTTCAACGAACATTAAAAAAAGAAATGGTAAAATTGGTCCAGGCGTTGTTGAGTTATGCGCTTACCAACACATGTTTTTGGAGTCGGTTTTAATTTTTGTTAAAATTATGAAATAACAATTTTACACTAGTAGTCAAATATTGGCAAGCTTTTGTTCATATTCCTGAAGGGAATTACATGGTTTAAGGATAGGGCTGAGTTACACCGCCTAACTTTAACAGTAAAGGCCTATTCAGACCTAAGCGGTATTCGCTACCGTCTTGATACTAAATACCTGAGCGAAACCCGCGTGGTATGTACCTCTACCCACAGCGGCAGCGAATATCGCTCAGGTCGCTCTAGCCGCGATACTTGATACTAAATACCTGAACGAAACCCGCGCGGTATGTACACAGTATATATATGAGCTAAAGCAGTACGGAAGCTTAGCCCTTTCGGCGAGTTAAATACCTACACTTCAACTGAGTGTTAGGGTTGGCACTCTTAATCTTTATAAAATAATTAGGTTCTTACTTACTTATTTATTAAATCGTTTATTAAGGTTTTTTAATTATCAAATACCTAATGGAATAAATTAATTGACTAAGTAGTTAACAAAAAAATAAATCGTTAATAAATTAGGTACCTACTATAATGATCGAATACCTACATAATCGAATAAATTGATTAAGTATTATTAGAGGCCGGTAGAAGGTCTATTCTCATAAATAAAATACCGGATATTTACTTTCACATACCTATTGCCTCATTTTAAATACAGTTCATCACTTAGCACAAAAGCTTGCGGAGCAAATTACTTTATCAAATAGAACACATAAATTGTTAAAAAGCGTAATTACGTAATTAAGAAGAATAATTCTGAATTATTACGAAGTTTAAAAAATGAAAGTTCTGGTTTTGAAGATGCCGAGTTCAAGCATCCGTATACTACGCAATACACTCGTGGCATGTTTTTAAAAATACAGCGGACAGCGCATGCAATAAAATTAAATTATTATAAAAACACAACGCGCGCGACACTCGCGACGGATGGACTGCGAGGTTCGCTTAGAGCTCGTGTAAAGCGTGCGTCTGTGTGCGTGAGTCTGATTTCGAGCGTTTGTATGAAGCTTCCGTACTGTTTTAATTTATCTACTGTGGTATGTACCTCTACCCACAGCGGCAGCGAATATCTCTCAGGTTTGAATAGGCCTTAACTTATAGTCTATAACGATAACCCGTGCTTTTTGTATAGAGTTTGACAGATTTTTGACGATTGTTAATGCTAAAGTAAGATTACTTTTTTTTCACCATCTGGAGCAATTCAGCCTAGGTAGCTAGTATTTACTTACCATGTATGATTATCATGACTTAAGTTCATCGATCATGCTTGGTGAACGTATAAAAACTTGCGATAATGGATAAAATTATGTATTTTACAAGCAAAACCTTTAAGGGTAAAAAAACGTTCCGTACTAATTTTCAGTCCTGTTGTAGTTGCACGATTAGGGCAGTCTTATCGCTAAGAAATTAACCCATTTCTTGATTCCAGGCAACTATTATTTTATCTCTTTAACGATCTTTACTTCAGTATTACCATTCATGGTTAACAGTATAAAATAATAACGGATGTTAAGATCGAATTGATTTTTTAATATTGATTTAGTTTGTTCTTCTTATAAAAATGCATAAAAAGAATGTAAACCGTTTAAAAACCGTAGTGAAGTTTTTAAAGTTAATCTCAATAATTGGCCGTATCTTATTACTCTCATTATAATGAATGAAAATAATTGTGACACTGTCCCATAGCCAGAAGCAAGGTCACTATCTCGATTTACAAGTTCACCTATTACTATCACGATCTTCAATATTACTACCGTTAATACAAAATGTATGCAGTATATAAACGAGTTCACTTGAAAAACTTATCAGTATCAATTTGTTAATCACTCCAGTAACAATGTTCTCTAAAGTAAGTCCGAACGTAAATTAATAAAATATGGGACCAATGACGATATTATATTTAAAACAAATTTTAATATGATAATTTTTTTACAGGTGGTAGCTCTCTGCGCCTTCGTGGCTGTGGCCCAGGCTGGCCTCCTGGCCGCGCCCGCCCACTACTCCTCCGCCGCGGCGGTCTCTTCCCAGAGCATCGTGCGCCACGACCAGCCCGCCCCCGTCGCCAAGCTCGCCGTGGCCGCCCCCGTGTACCACGCCGCCCCCGCCCCCGTCGCCTACCACGCCGCCCCCGCCGCCGTCACCTACCACGCCGCCCCCGCCCCCGTGGCCTACCACGCCGCCCCTGCCGTCGCCTACCACGCCGCTCCCGTCGCCAAGGTCCTGGCTCACGAAGAAATCGTATGTACCGTTTTATTATTTACTGCAATATATTAAATCAATTCTTGCTATAAAACTATAAACATTGGATTGCATTCTTAAACAGCTATTTTTAATTCTTCCAGGCTCACCCCAAATATGAGTACACCTACTCCGTCGCTGACGGCCACACCGGCGACAACAAGTCCCAGCAGGAGTCCCGCGACGGCGATGTGGTGAAGGGCTCTTACTCCTTCCACGAGGCTGACGGCTCCATCAGGACCGTGGAGTACACCGCCGACGACCACAACGGCTTCAACGCGGTCGTGCACAACACCGCCCCCACCGCCGCCCCTGTCGTGGTTAAGGCCGCCCCTGTTGTGTACAAGGCCGCCCCTGTTGTGTACAAAGCCGCCCCCGCCCTCCAGTACTACCACCACTAATGTAGAATGAAATCGGAACTATTTATTTATTAAAATATTGTTTTAGAAAGAAATGTGTTAAATTTTATTGTCCAGTTTTTGTTGAGAAACCTTATGCAATATGATTTTAGTTAGATGAATATTAAACCTATTGAAATAAAACGTGAAAAAAATGTTGAATATAGGTAATATACGATTTTATCATCAATCACCATTCATACAAACAAGAAAAGTTAACGCCAACGCTACTAAATAAGTAAAACACAGTCGTTAAAATATATCCGATTTAAATTAATAATTTACATCAATCTAATCTAAGACAAATAAGAAAACTGGCTTCAGTCCGCTATACTCTCACAAGAATAGAAAAATTAACGCCCGTGTTTCCCACTCAGTTCAATCCAGGATAAAAACAGCCTATATTTTATCTGGATCTCAAACTATGTCTATAGATTCTTTCATCAGAATACGCCGAGTGGTTTAGGCAAGAAAAGGTAATATGGAGACAGACGAGATTACTCTCGCATTAAAACATTATGTCCGGATTAGTTATTTTATTTTGTTGTTAGGAAAACAAACAGCAATTTATAACACACATAGAATTACTAAATAAACTTTTTATTAAATTTCTTGATAACGTGTTACAAGTTCTCTAAAGTTGTCTAATTGTTTGAGTAGGATATGACAGTATGAAAATTAAACAATTATTAATATTTACGGAACAACAGCATCTTGAAATAAATAAATTTAATTTAATTAGGGAATCATTGTAACAAACGCGTTTGTGGCTGCTTGTTAAGTACTCCATTCGCATGGATTTCAAAAAATATCAACAACAAAGGGAAACAACAACAAATAACATCTATCCTCAAAAACTTGCGTTCATGTCCATGGAAAAGTAGAGTATTGTACTCCATTCCATACTTAGTCTTGATAGACTGCCTGTCTATAGGTAAGTGTATAGGTACCGGTCAAATAAACTAACCTTACTATTAAAAACAACTGACAATACTGTTTAATGTAATAAAATAATCCGCCACTTCCTCTCAGTACCACCAGACACCTGGGCTAGGGCAAGGGCTTATTATTTGGAAGGCGTATGTACCCTGAAAAGGGCATGGGAATAATATGCGCCCACTCTGGTCCTTTGGCCTCTGACATCTAAACTGTTAATTTTAACTCTTTTATTTATTTCCGAAGTAGCTTTTGCCCGCAGCTTCACCCGTGTGAAATTTAGTTTGTCACAGATCGTCATAAATTATAGCTTATGTGTTATTCTGGGTTATAAAGTAGGTATATACTGTAAAGTTTAATCAAAATCCGTTCAGTAGTTATTGCGTGAAAGAGTAACAAACATGTTAACATCCAGACATCCATACAAACTTTCGCATATTTCATAATATTAGTAAGAATAAGAATTAGTAAGAAGTAAGATTATTCCGTCAGTGTAGAACGTCCAAGGTTTAACGACGACCTCATAAAGGTAGCAGGAAGGCGTTAGGCTACCAACCGGCCATTATGGAAATCATTGGGGCAGGCATTTTGTTCAGAAGTGTATGTCCTATTTCTGAAATGATGATGATGATGATGATGATTTATTTCCGAAGCACAAAGATGTTTGTGATAAACTCCACTTTATCTGCTCAGAATGGTTATGGCGTATAAAAGTGTGAGAAGGTGCCGGCAAATTTCATACGTTTCAAAATCTTAGCACCGACTCCAAAGGTATTCAATCATGGTATAATATTTATTGAAGTAAATTATTATTAATTCGTCCTAATAAATAAGTAATTAGTTATTATTTTTCTACTTTTTAATGCACGTTTTTTGGAGTCGGTTTTATTTTTAATAGAATTGGGCATCAAATATGACATTGTAGACAATGTATTTCTGTTTCTAATATCATACATTATTTGTATCAGGTAATAAATTTTCATAAAGTATTTTATTTTATTAAGTATTCCTACATAAGCTTTATTAGTATACCTACTACGAGTACTACATTAAGCAAAAAATAAAATGGAACTAACTATAAAATATACCAGTATGCTTAGGTATGAGTTACTAATTAAATAAATTAGGTTAAAATTAGTTGTTTAGTTATTAGTTGCTGTAAATAGGTATTATCTTAATATTATTACGATACCTACCTATAATTTTTTGTTAAGTGAAAAAAAAATATTCACGCTTACCAGATTTTATTTTATTTTATAAGCATTATAATTTATCATTAAGAACAAAAATAATTTATCATGAAGAATTTCTAATTCAATAATGTATGAAAATTATCGAAAGAGTGCCCAAAAGCCAGCGGCAAGGTCAAGATCTTGTTTTACAACTTGTCTTATCACTCTGTACGGTACTTAAACTGTCTATGCCTGTGCTGTGATGCAGTATATAAACGAGTTCACTTGCAAAAGTAATCAGTATACATTTGCTAATCACCCATTTAACAATGTTCACTAAAGTAAGTGTGAGCACAAAAAAAATGTCGATGATAAAATATGATACATTAGTGATTAATAAAAGTGACGTTGAAAATAAAAGTGATTCAAGTAGTGTTCAAGTGATGTTTTAAAAAGTTTTTTTTATTATAGGTAGTAGCTCTCTGCGCCTTCGTAGCTGTGGCCCAGGCTGGCCTCCTGGCCGCGCCCGCCCACTACTCCTCCGCCGCGGCGGTCTCTTCCCAGAGCATCGTGCGCCACGACCAGCCCGCCCCCGTCGCCAAGCTCGCCGTGGCCGCCCCCGTGTACCACGCCGCCCCCGCCCCCGTCGCCTACCACGCCGCCCCCGCCGCCGTCACCTACCACGCCGCCCCCGCCCCCGTGGCCTACCACGCCGCCCCTGCCGTCGCCTACCACGCCGCTCCCGTCGCCAAGGTTCTGGCTCACGAGGAAATCGTACGTACCGTTTTACCTTCTATCATCAGCTCATCAATATGAGATGATGATTTCCAGGAGCAAATACTTCAATAACTTAAAAAAAAGTTTGAAAAACGATATACGTGCCTATAAAATTTGAGGGTTGCCCTCGATTTCCCTAGGATCTCATCATCAGATCCTAACTTGGTGACAATGGGACCACCTCAGAAGTGTACCCTATCGAACAAAAAAAGAATTTTGAAAATCGGTCCACAATTGACGGAGTAATCGGTGAACATACATAGAAAAAAAAAATACATACCGTCGAACATATAACCTCCTCCTTTTTTGAAGTCGGTTAAAAATAATTTATAATGTTACCTTATTTCTAAAGCACGAATTCAAAGTACATATTTATCTTTTACATTGTTCATTTGTGACTGTCATCATCTCATCTCGTTCTGATGAAGATATACAATCGGTAGATAATATAAATCATCATATAACATCCCCAAATGTGAAATCGATCAGCCAAGTAGTTTTTTTGTAGACTCAAAAAACCGATTCCAAAACTTCAAAACGCTCTCCTGGAAACTTAACATTTTGCAGATGCGTCGTTGTTTGACGACGCCGACGACCTGTTTCGAGACAAAGATATTTAGAAAATTCTAAATATGTAAATAAATATTCTATTCAAAACCATTTGTCATACCGATAATGTAGGACAAAAGTAGTTACAACTACTGTGTTCAGCTTAATGCACAATATGCATATTGCAGACTACTTAGTAACAGAAATTATACTTAGTCTGATGTGCTGGCGACTTTACATACAACTGTTCAGCCAAAGGTCATCTTACTAATATTATAAATGCGAAAGTTTGTATGGATGTCTGGATGTTTGTTAGGTACTCTTTCACGCAAAAGCTACTGAACGGATTTTGATGAAACTTTACAGTATTATTTTTTATAACTCAGAATAACATATAGGCTATAATTTATTTATGACAATCTGTGACAAACTAAATTTCATGCGGATGAAGCCGCGGGCAAAAGCTAGTAAATAATGAAATCAACGACAAAATTAGTACTACTTATTTCTTTACTGCACTGGACGCGTTATATAATGTTGAAAGTAGACCTTTTCCAAGTTTTTACTGAACTTTTACGTCTATCATTCAGAATATGAGTGTCATAAAAGGTTAACAATAACACCGGTAAGAAAGTGGGAGTATCGCAATGAGAAGTTCTCTCTTGTTTGCTTTCGAAATGAGGAAAACTTACGGAAAGCTCTATAACAAACTTAACTAAAACTGCTTATTTTTTTTGGCTTTACCGTAGTCGGGTAAAAAAGAAATTATGAAAAGTTTATGCCCAAAGGGCCGAGTAGAGTACTTAAAGTTAATAAGCACTATAAGGCGATTATCACACTGCGCCGCGCTCCGCGGGACGACAGATTTAATCATTGTATGCTTAGATTAATAAAGCCTAGATAGATAGTCAGTGCACGAAAGGTGAGGCAGCTTTTAGTGAGCCGGAACGGCTCACTCGTAAACGTCACATGAACTGTCAAAGTGAAAAATTGGTAAAGACGTCCGACGAATTTTAATTAATTATGACGGTTTGTGCTGTGAAAGGGTGTCTAAATACATCAGAAAAACGAAAGAAAGTGACCATTACATAAGTAAGTTACGCTACGATTCGACGCGTATTTTGCTTGAATTTGGCTTTCAAAAATTAAATACGGGAATGATACCAGTAACAAGAAAATTTATTTCCCAATTGTTAGCCGTACAAATACACTTCCTTTTTTTATGAAATCGAGACTTTTAAGTCGATTTATCTTATTGTAATTAGGTAGGTATTTTGAATTCAATAAATAAGTAAGTACATGATGCGTTTTTTTTTTTTGTTAATTATAAAATAATTAAAAACGTATTAAAAATTTCCCTACTTTCGGGGAAATCGCCTTCATTGTCCACACTCCCCAAGAAAATTGACACTAATGATATAAGATTTTTGCCTCACTCTAAACGAAGCGTTTGTATGAAGACTATCCATCTAGGCTTTATTAATCTAAGATTGTATGCAAGTACCTCAGTTTGTATAGAAAACGTGCGGCACAACACACTGACAACGCGTCTGCGCACAGGATTATTTATGTGAAATCACGCGGACCGTGGCGGAGCGCGGCGCAGTGTGATAATCGCCTAATGGATACATCAGCGGTATAAATATAACTCTCTTAATTAAGACAACACACAAATTTTATTGATCTCCCAGTACCCTAAAACAATGACACGTCACTTTGGAAGGGTAGAGTTAAATAAATCCGCCGAAGAATCCAATTCATAATCACTAGGTTCCTTAATCCACTGAAACTAATTAGGTATTCCGCCTACACTCTGTTGTGATCGGAAAATTTCTATTTGTTGACCCAATTTTCGACTGGTAAAAATATGTTATTAACTTAACTTTGTCATCATTATTTATTTAGTTTATTTATTTATTTATTTATTTATATATTTATTTATTTATTTATTTATTTATTTATTTATTTATTTATTTATTTATTTATTTATTTATTTATTTATTTATTTATTTATTTATTTATTCATTTATTCATTTATTCATTTATTCATTTATTCATTTATTCATTTATTCATTTATTCATTTATTTATTTATTTATTTATTTATTTATTTATTTATTTATTTATTTATTTATTTATTTATTTATTTATTTATTTATTTATTTATTTATTTATTTATTTATTTATTTATTTATTTATTTATTTATTCATTTATTTATTTATTTATTTATTTATTTATTTATTTATTTATTTATTTATTTATTTATTTATTTATTTTATTTATTTATTTTTTATTTATTTATTTATTTATTTATTTATTTATTTATTTATTTATTTATTTATTTATTTATTTATTTATATGGCATACCAACAACATATATATTATACTCTTATGATTAACATTAAATAAATACATATAATAATATGATAACCAATGCTAAGCATCAGCCACATTTACCGTTATTTACTTGCAAAACCAGCAATCAATCAATGGTCAATCGTCATACAGGGTGACTTTGCAATCAGTGTCCAAATTAGGAGCGACTCAGTACTTCAATTCGTTCATAGAAATATACTTACAGATAGTTAACTTCAAAGCTCAATAGACATAATGGTGCAATAAAATAAACCTTATCTTTTAAAACTTAAGATATGGGAGACCCGCGAATTTGATTTTTTTTTGCGACATCTACCACGATTAAAAATAATTAAAACAAAGTTGTATTGTTAATTGTACTATAGAGCTTATTAAAAAATTTCAGATACTGATTGCAAATTCACCCTGTATATTATCGTGTCTTCATGAGAACGAAAATAGCTGTCAGAAATAACGAAGACGCAACATCCGACCCGAAACCGATACAATAAATCTTGATGCTTTAGTAATACCTACCTTGATTACAATTACTAACCAAATAGGTAATTTATTGAAATTTTATAATGTACTTCCATAAAATCTTAAAATACCTTTAATACGAGTATAATGTAATATTCTCTAATATGTATAACATTCGAATAACTGCACCACCCAGTCTGTAAGTGTAAGCTGATAAAGGATACCTTTTACGTTACGTAATAGTATTGTTTCATAAGATTTTTGAGACATATTCAGTGAATGGATCGCCTGCGACACTATCTTGACCCAGAGCAAGGTCGGGGCATAAAGCTAGTTTGACAGCTTCCACTACCTGTGATCGGGCTAATCTTGCTTAAAGTTTCGAGTATAAAACTGGACCCTTGGTTATGTAGGCATCATTATCAGTCCGACTTCGGATAAAAACACAATATGTTCTCAAAAGTAAGTGCAGTGATATCGATGTGAATTGAATTGGAAAACAGTGAATTGTGAGTGAATAGCGATATTAACCAGTGATGTATTTTCAGTTGGTAGCCCTGTGCGCGTTGGTGGCGGTATCCCAGGCCGGTCTCCTGCCTGCGGCGCCCGTGCACTACTCTCCTGCTGAAGCTGTGTCTTCGCAGAGCATCGTCCGCCACGAACAACCCCAGGCCTACTCTACCAAGCTCGTGGCTGCTCCCGTCGCCTACCACTCAGCCCCTGTTGCCTACCACTCCGCCCCCGCCCACTACTCTTCTGCTGAATCCGTCAGCTCCCAAAGCATTGTTCGCCACGAGCAGCCCGCTAAGCTGGTGGCCGCCCCTGTGTACCACGCTGCCCCCGCCCCTGTCGCCTACCACGCCGCCCCCGCCCCTGTCACCTACCACGCCGCTGCCGCCCCGGTGTACCACGCCGCTCCCGTCACCAAAGTCGTAGCTGAGGAAAGCGTAAGTGTTTGTCNAAAGTCGTGCCAAGTCTATGATGGTTCCTTACTGCGATTTCTTTATTATTATACTTAATGTTGTGTGACTTGGCCGTTGAACAATCTTTATTATGATAATCATACATAAGTATTATTGAATGGGTAGCGTTTCTGGCGACAGATTGGTGCAATGATATCATGGAGCACCTGATTTTGTACCCTTCAACGGCCAAGTCACACAACATTAAGTATAATAATAAAGAAATCGCAGTAAGGAACCATCATAGACTTGGCACGACTTTGTCTAGATTTCATTACTTTTTAGAGATAAACAAGCAGCTCCATCGAGACTTGGCTAGTTTTTTACAGAATGTTTTTGGTGGGATCGTTTTTACTATGATAACTTTAAAACTAACTAACGCATTGTTATCTTCAACAGCACTACCCCAAATACGAGTACACTTACTCCATCGCTGACGGCCACACCGGCGACAACAAGTCCCACCAGGAGATCCGCGATGGTGACGCTGTGAAGGGCTCTTACTCCTTCCACGAGGCTGACGGCTCCATCAGGACCGTGGAGTACACCGCCGACGACCACAACGGCTTCAACGCGGTCGTGCACAACACCGCCCCCACCGCCGCCCCTGTCGTGGTCAAGGCTGCCCCCGTCCAATACTACCACCACTAAGTGTTCATGTGCCATCCCCATAATAAGGACTGATTAATTATTTATTATGACTGTTTTAATGAATAAGCTCGAATAAATCTTTACTGAAAAATATTCATTTACTTTTACTGAAACCTCAGTGTAGCCAACCCAAATATTTTAAGAAACTATTTAAAAGCAAGCATTGACAATAACAGTAACACACAGAATTAAGAAAACCCCTGAGGAAAACCCTTAAATGCCCAGAGGTATGAAAACGACCTAATGATATAAATGTTCAAGAGAACATTTATGTGTCATTGGGTCGTTTTCACAAGTTAAGAGCGATGCCTATAAAAAAAAATATTCCAAATTAGTTACATAAAAATCTGAGACCTAAATAGTTCTGGGAATATTATTATATGGTTTAAAGAAAATACAAAAGGGAAAAGTAAATCAATAGTAGGTAGTACGTACGTAGTACTATATCGGTTAGATCCTGAAAAAAATAATTGATAAATGCTACGTAGAGTCACTGATAAATGGTATGGCAGCTTTACCAAAATTAAACTTTAATTCTTCTTGAGTATGTAATATCTGCATTTAACCAAAAATAACATGATCCTATGACTTCCATGAATGTGCTAGGCTACAAGTACCTTTTACACATACTCGTACATAATTATACAAGTCAACTCAAGAGGTTTCTATCTACTACATATTTTTCGCTTAATTACGTTCAAATACGTTTTTGGGTAAGAGGACTATTAATTAAGGCAGACCACAGTGTATGGAGTTAAATGTTTAGGTTGATGATTAATTTACATTGAGTAGCATTAAACAGTTTTAAAATCAAAGACATAATGTTATTATAGAACATCTATCACGCTCACTGGACTGTATAGAGAGATAAAAGAAGACTGAAATTTTAAATAAATTAGTTGAAAGGCGCTTATTTAACAATGATTTGTGAACAAAAACTTTATTAAAATGTATGTCCTTATTTAAACACTCACATAATCACTTGATAGCTACAAGTTATTATGTAGATTTAAAAATCAAAAATACAAGAATAATTTTAACTTATCGCGACACTTATTAGTGATTGTTTTCTTTATTGTATCTTGTATTGGTGCTTTTTACTAGTACTTATTATTAAAAAAATAAAAACCTACCAACCTCCTATTGATCATTTTAAAATATAACAAGCAGTAAATCCAAAGACTGGAAAATCACTTTTGTTGACTGTATAAAAGGATAGTTTCTCTCGTACTAACGTATCTAAGCACTTTTATTTCACAGAACAATACCACATAAAACTTTTTCATAACTAGCAAATGCCATCCGTTCTGTTGAACAATGAATTCATCGAGTCTATTAAATTTTACCGATGCCTTACATGATAACAAGGCGAATCCACTCTCTTTTGTGAAATTAACAAAACCGAGAAGGATGTTGGGGAGCAGTGGACACATCACACAATCATTTCACTTAGTTTCTAATTTGAGTAATTTCTTTCTCTACATTTTACGACCTAGAACTTGTGAAATAATTATAAAATTATGCTATTACAAGCTTTTCTTGATTATTATTTAAATACGGTAAAATAATTGGCGTGTTTTATTAGTTTTCATAATTTTTACGAAATCTTAATATATCTATATATATATAAAAGAAAGTCGTGTTAGTTACACCACTTATAACTCAAGAACGGCTGAACCGATTTAGCTGAAAATTGTCAGGGAGGTAGTTTAGAGCCAGGAGAAGGACATAGGACTTTTTATCCCGTTCGAAATTAAAAAAAAGTCTGCTTATTTATTGCCATTAAGGCGGAACAAAGTTCGCCGGGTCAGCTAGTTATGTCATAAAAAATGTTTGACCATCTGCCATAATTAAAACATGTTCCTACAATAAATGATATTTTATAACCACCATGGTCATTATGTAACCACCATGATCATGTTAAATCTAACATGATCATGGTGGACTATAAAAAGGATAATCATCCTTTTTATAGTACCTCTACCTACCTGTACTAATTGGTGAAAGATCCCCATCTTCCCCATATCTATATCTTTAACAGAAAAATTGACTCAATGCCTCCATTGAGTTTTAGATGGTGGCGATCCGATAAGAGATCGCAGTTCCGGGCTAGGCTAATATGGATAAGATATTGTATCCATATTCTAACAATATAAAACTACACTAAATATTACTGGATTGGACCCTTATTATTGGCGTGGGTCCAATAAACAAATGTGTGCTCATAAATATCATGAAGTATGCATGAACATTATCTGTTTCTCCTGTTCTCTGTTCGGGTATTAAATTCATAAATGTATTGGTTTGGAAACTTGATTTATACCTATCTGGTGTTAAGTACCATAGCTTTACATAATTTGGACCACATTAAGGGACTGAGTAGAATATCCAAAGATGTATTTCTGTATCAATATAATTTAAGTTATTGCCTAATTAGCTAACTGACATGAAACGGCTTGGGTACATAACATAATCGCAATAAATGAATATTAGATACTAATCTCGCGTATAAAGGGAGTAAAAATGAAAATACTAAATCATAAATTTTAAGATATCAATACGAATAAATGTACTATCAATAACAAGATCAAATATTCATTACATCGATGTTATGATGACCGAGTTAGGCTCACAAATCCTTCCTATTCTTTCGTATTACCTGCAAAATTACCAGAATATTAGATATTTAACAATTTTATATAATACAAAATCGAAAAGTATAAAACGGTTTAAAGTGAATCATTTCATCAACAGTCCGCTAGTTCGTTTGTTTGGCGACGGTTCCCCTAAGTAAACCATGATGTCTAGAAACGTAAGTAAAATTAATTTACTTTACTAATAAATAAACTTAACAATTTAAGGTTTATTACAAACTTAAAAATGATATTGATAATTTTTAAACTTATTGTTTTTATTAAGAAAAGACTAAATCAAAAGACTAGTCCAGGTGAAGTAGTTCTTAATAAAAAAATGATTTGATATGAGTTTAAAGAAATTCACACAAAAAATCTAGCTTCCTGTTTATAATTATAATTATTATTAAATTAACATTCTTAAATTTCTTTTCCAGATTTTACTTCTTATTTGCTCCGTGGCAGTCAGTCAAGCAGTCGTAATAGAGACAAGTTCAAAGAATGACGATGAGAACTCAAGTAGATGGCAAATGGTAAAAATGTTCCATACATCGAGTCCTCGGCTGTTCCACCATTACGACTACTATGTAAGTAATTCCAATTGAAGTTTATACAGTGCTAATACAGTGTATATAAGTCCATTTGACTTAGCCCTGCATTTTTAACTAGACATATTGAAACCAATTAATACGAAAGCTTTATTGAAATCATGAAAAATGTGCCACCCAAGTAAAATGCTGTGGTACTGAGTCCATCCATGGACTTCAGTCTCACTGGAATGTCCACTAATAATCAAAACAATGTTAAGAATAACATCTTTACTTGACGATTTTGTAAGAAACCTTGACTAATTTTGGAACTGGTTCATCAATGGCATATCAATGGTAGAGGACACAGTTCCGTTATTGCTTAAATGTATTTATAAACACATTAAACCACTGCATACATTACAGGCTTATCCTAAATACGAGTTTGAATACGCTGTGTCGGACAAGAAAACTGGGGACCACAAGCGCCACCATGAGACCAGAGATGGGGACAAGGTGCGAGGAGAGTACAGTCTGGTGGAACCTGATGGATCCATGAGGAAAGTGCAGTACGACGCTGATGATCATAATGGGTATGAATTCTTTTACTGGTTGTACTTTTACACACTACATACTCCTTTTCAGTTATTATAAAAACCTGCTAATTTTTCATGTGACACATTATTAAAACATATTATTATGCTAAACTGTCGAGTCTTCTCTATTTGAGTCACTGAAAATCCAAACGTACGTACTTGCATCCTTCTCACTTTTTGTCGCTCATTAAACTGAAAGCTCTAAGGCGCGTCGCGCATATCTTATTTAATGTTAATGCAATGCGCAACGTGAAAACAAACCTTTAAACTTTCGTCACCAAACATCGCACAACCGAATACCGAACTGTTACACAAAAAATATTAAACATGTTTATAATTGCGTTGCAGGTTCAATGCCGTTGTCAGCAAGACCGTCAACAAGCATGGCGATCATGCCTACTCAGTATTTGGTGAAACGAAACATTTTGGTCAAGGCGTCAAAATTAACCACTACTTCCCCGGCAAGGACTATTATTACCAAGAACAAGTGACAACCGAAAGTGCGCCGATCGAAATGGAAAACAAACCAGTTCAGCCTAAACCTGTTAAAGAGGTCGGGACGGAATCTAATGATAGTGAAAACAAAATGATACTGATTGAAGCTGGGAACAAAATGATGTTATTAAAGCCCGTTGAAATTGTTACTCAGCCACCAGCTGCAAAACCTGAATCAGTACCTGAACCAGTTGTCAAAGTTGAAGCGGTAGAGGCTGCTACAGTCAAAAGCATGCCTGAAGTAGTTTCAATGATGATAGCCAATTCGGGATCTTTGGATACAATTAATACCGTAGTGGCTGAGAAGACTGAACAAACTGCTCCTGAAACTGAAAATAAAGAACCAAAGGAGACTCCAAAACAAATAAAAGAAGAAACGGCATCAGATTCCGACGTTGCATCATCATACTATCGCCACTCAAGGATTTACTACGTAGGATTTTAAGAGCAAGAACCTATTTTTATTACTATTTTCTGTTATGTAGTTTAAAAATTTAAAGTCATAGAGGTAAACAATGTGAGCATTAGCAAGTATTATTGAATATTATTCAAGGTTTAGAACGGCTAGACTGACTACATGAAGTAAATAAAAAATTAAAACATGTTTTATTAATCTTATTTTTTAGAACCCTTCTACTCCCAAAATAAATATTGATCTTACTTTTTAGTAGGTACGTTCTTAAAACGTAAGATGGCAGATTTGGTCACTTTCACTGAAACTTAATAGTTCAAGTTATTTCAAGTAGGTGGCGCTAAACGATTTTTCCATCTATGCTGTTTCGACTGAGAGAAAATTTAGCAAAATTAGTAATTTTCTTTTTTAAACTAAAAGAACTCTATGTATGTATACAACCAATTCATAGACAAATGTGTAATTTAAGAATAATTTATTACAACATGTATTTTGTGGTAGATACGAGTACTTATACCTATCTACTGATTGTAATAAACACTACTAACTCCATGTTACTAGAAACAACTGTTCTCAGCTTAGAGTTTCGACTCTACTGCATTGTTTTAGAACAAGTTAAGTCTGAAATGATTAGGTATTATAAGAAATCGTGACTGTACTTTATTGTATGTCCCTCACATCGCACCGCGTGATTATCGCGGTTATTAACCGTAATTAATAATTACTGTGAATTTAATCGATCACGTCGTGTGTCCGAAATTTTAATTGAACCCATAATTGATGCTTAACCTTCACCCAAAATAATTAAAATAACAATGCACACCTTAATACTATTGGGATAAGTGTTAAATTATCACTTTAAAGGATACTAAAATTACTGCAGCAGTCAACCGCTTAAACATTAATTAGCATTTCAAACATTCAATATAATATTCAATTGATAAGTAAGTTTTTGTTTCAAGAAACGAGTTAGTTTATACCTCTTTTATAACAAACGAAGAGGCAAAATGAGATACTAATTAAGCCATACATTTATTAAGGTGACTGATGAAATTTATTACAATTTTAAATGCTTATTAAGCTAGGTGCACTTGTAGTAATGATAATTGTGCAAATAAAAGCAATTTGAAATACGCAATGGTCTACGTAACCGGCTGTAACGTTTCATACTATTTTCATTATCGTTTGGCTTCTGTTTTACTGCAAAATAATCAACGATTTAATAGAAATACAATTAGGTGTAAAAGTTATGAAGGTGATAATGAATAGTTTTGAAGACGCAACACCATAATGACCAGGGTTTGACAAAAAAGTATCTTTTTGGATTACTCTAAAAAGTTTAATGTAGGATGACTACCTGTGTGCTGCTTACCATGAGTTTACGTTAGGTGTGCTCGCTAGCGACTGCGTAAAAAAATGTATGACATATTGTGTAGCGCCCCTAGCGGCTACTTTCAAAAAATAAAATCTTCATAGAATTTTTTGACGTATTCGCTAGCGACCTCACCTAACGTAAACTCATGGTAAGCACACTGCTCTATAGCAGGACGAGCAGATCTAGCCTTCTGTCTCAATATTTACATTCTTTTTTTATGCTGAACGATCCGAAAATATACTCCTAATTGTATATTAACTTGGACATCACTCGCTCGATTGAACACAATATTCTTAATTATAGTTATTACTACATCATTAACGAGTCAAAGCACCCAAATCGATTTGCAAATCACTATCACTTCATAGAATAAATAGCTTACGATCTGAAGACTATTCTACTAACCTAATTGTCAGTATTATGCAGCTCCCTGCGCTCGTAAAAACAGCCGTTCCAAATATGTCAAATGCTGAGCGTAACGTATATTTGAATAACTCGCTTTATCTTACCATAATTAATAGGTAAAATGAAACCGGAGCGCTACAAGGAACAGCACTTTCGCTCGCACTAGTAGCCCTTAGCCTGCATAATGGATACTTTACACATTACACCAACAAACTAAACCTAAGCTTATTTTATTTAAGCTTGACCTAATTTCAAATATGTGACATTGAACTAGATTGAGGTTGCAAAATGAAATAAGACAATAGAAGACAATCAGCGTCAAATTCTTTTGCTGGTTAATGAACTTTGGTTTGTGTGGTGATAAAACTAACTTTTGAAAGTCATTTATGGAATCTTTAAAAAAAACGAAGTTGTACCTATTGTCTTTATCCATATCCATGCCCTATTGATGTAGATGTATTGATATAAGTGATTTAATGTGTAATTTACTCTTTGCGTAGGAATACGAAGTTAATTAAATAACTAGATAAAACAATTAAAGAACTGAAACATCACTTCATCATAAATAATATTGACAGCGATTAATATAACCTGACATTGTTATTGGACGATAAAATTTACAAGTGTATGTCAATAATGTGCTTTAAATTACTCTCGTTTTATTCACGAAAAACGTTACCGACGCAGCTCTGCGCTGAACGAATTGCTAGACTTATTGCATGCGCTCTAACTCAAGTATTACACTAGATATGACATAGATAATTTAATACACTTATTAATCTACGCGAATGTCGGAGGTACGCGAACGGGCATAAAAACTCTGATTGGATCTACGTTGCCGACGCCTGCACAGCGAAATTACTGGCATGATCAAATTTTAATGCTTCTTAGATTACTCTTTTGCAATTATCTTGTAACATTTATTAAGTCCTGTTGCAATACATGAACCATCCTGAAGAACTGTAAATATGTGGTCAAATCATGCATGAAAAAATGTTTTCTTCGAAATATCGTGTAAAGGCTCCGTAATAGAACAAGAAAATAAATTCCGATTGCTCTCATAACATAGCTGTTAAAAGCACGGTAGTGTCAATATCGGAGAGGATGAGGACCAGCGCATGTAACAGTTAAGAAGGAAGTTTGTAACATGCGAGAATATCTTGCATATCCTTCAACAATTCTGTAGATCTTGTCGATGTGTAATGGTTTCCTTCCTTCACAACCAGCTTTACGCAAAACTCGGAGACTAAAAAACATTAAATCCATTGAAGACATTCTATTAAATATCAATATAACATAATATTATGAGTATAATTACCTACATGTCGTGGTCATTGATATAAAAACCTATTTATCTTAAAATAATTTTCATGGAAGGCAAGAAATGGGAAATGACCCGCAAGTAGGTAGAGCTTATAATCTGATGGTAAGGTAGTTGTTAATAAAAAGTTAAAGGCCTGTTTGATAGGATATTTAAGTTATAGAAACCATGATAATAGATTTATGAAAAAGGTTTAATCTTCAAAGGCATTGAAGACAATGACAATAACAAAATTATATGGTTTCAACAATTGCATAGTTAGCTGTAACGGCCATGTGGAGCGATCCCATAAACGATGAGACGAAACGTTTACAAAAACTGTAACAATATCGACCTCTCACTTTAAAATGGTCAATTTTCTCTACACATTGTAGCCATATCGGGTTGCGACACCCGATAAAGTGAGCAGATTGCCAATGCGGCAATTACCTACTGTGATCCGATCGGATATCGTCTGGAATAGACTCCCCTCCACAAACAGCGCTTATGTTTTGTTTGTTATATAAAAAGAGTGCACTATCACAGCGATACCAGTCGTCAAGGCATTTGTCTGCAAAGCAAAATGTTCTCCAAAGTAAGCCTACGTTTGAATTATAAAATTACGCAACAAACAAGAGTAGGACAATTGCAGCGTAATCTAAATTACTTAGTCGAAATTAGCTTTGAGCTTTTGTAATGAGAGTACTGCTACTGTAAACAGTGGCCTTGTGATGAGGGTCAACGATTCCAGGATCTAAAAATAGTTTTTTTTACAGATTTTAGTGGCTTGCGCTTTGGTGGCCGCGTGCCAAGCAGGTCTCCTGCATCACGCTCCGGCGGTGTCATCTCAGAACATCGTCCGCCACGACCAGACCGTGCACCACGAGGTGCCGGTGCACTACGAGGCCCATGCTGCCCAGGTGTCCCACGCCGCCCCGGCTCACGAGTACCACACCGTTCACGCCGCCCCAGTCCAAATCGCCCACGCCGCCCCAGTCGTCCATGCTGCCCCCATCCATGCTGCTCCCGTCCACGCTATCCATGCTGCCCCCGTCCACGCTATCCACGCCGCGCCCGCCCTTCATGAAGACCACTACGTCGATGAATACGTAAGTAAAAATGTTTTACTATTTAGTCTATAGATGGACCGTATGAACTTAGAGCTTTGGAAGACCTTTAGTTACGTCGATAGAAGAGCTAAGGAATAGCATCCCTGAAAAACTAAAACAAGGGTTGAAATAAGTTTTTAGGAACCCGAAATTGCCAGTTTGGAATCAGTTTGGATTTATTGTCTAAATTAATCGCATACTTTATTGCTCCTTCTTCCAGGCTCATCCCAAATACGGCTACTCCTACTCCGTTGAGGACCCCCACACCGGCGACCACAAGTCCCAGCACGAGGAGCGCGACGGCGATGTGGTGAAGGGCGAGTACTCCCTGCTGCAGCCTGATGGCTCCTTCCGCAAGGTCACCTACACCGCTGACCACCACAATGGGTAAGATATAAAAACCAGGCATAGAGTTCAAAATGTGAAGATTAGATTTGATTTCAATATTCTTTTTCTAAGCTCGTTAACCCCTCGTGCCAAAATTATGCTTGTATTACGAGTGGTATCACCACAATAGCTCAACGAAGATTTGCTTCGAACCCGAATTCCTCGGATCTCGAATAAGTCAGTCCGTCCCTAAGCGTTGGACTATTGTCGCTCCATTAGACTTTAACATTAAAAAAATAATTTGCGATTTGTACGCGACTCTACATGTTTCGGTCTCTCATTTGTAAAATATTCNAATATTCTAAACAATAGCCTTCCAATCAAAATACGCTTTCCAGCAACAATGAAAACGTTAAGTGTGTGGACAAACTATTTGAATAACTTGTATCGCGAATTCACACACATGTCGCCACACAAATCCGTGGTGAATTGTAAAATGGACGCTGAAATCTTAGTTTCTTTATTGCAGTGTAATGTTCATTGTCTCGTATGCAGCTTAGGAACGAGTATTTCGTTTTAGTCTCACGTGCATTATGTATTGTTTCCCCACAGATTCAACGCCGTGGTCCACAACTCGCCGCCCGTCATCCATCATCATTAGAAGTTTGCCCAATCTGTGATATTAGCCGTAGAATTCTAGCCAACAAATGGAGAACAATGTTACCATTGCCTTAAGTGCATGAAATACCTTTTGTACATATTAGACAATTAAATCATTTCTATGTACACGACTATTTAGTGAATAAAGTAGATAAAATTATTACATGGATGAATATTATTTTTCCTACTCCCTACAAAAATGGTGAGAATCAAAACAATACTATTCTTAAAAGACATGACCTTCCTGCCACATTATAAATTAGGTAAACAAATATTAATAAAAAATGTACTGGTACATCAAACGAGACGTTTCTGATGCATTACTGCACCCTGTTCCATATTATTTTCCTTTTGCTTTGCCCTACTGCCTGCATTGCCTTCTCCATAAAAGCCATCAATATACTTTTAAGTCTTTATAATGTTTATATTGAGACTTCTTGATCCAATCTAATATAACTTATGAGAAGCAATCTCATTTGCGCAATTCCACATTAACACTGGGTAGATTGTAGACTATTGTTTGTTTAATTTGTTATACAAATGTAACTATGTATTTGGTCGGTTACAAAAGCACGCATGCTAATTGAAGTCCATTCATGCGTCTAATTAGGCAGTAGGTAGCTGCAATATCTTTACAATTAGAGCTCGCGGGTTAATTGTTGGGATTCTGGAACGTGGGACCGCTATCCTGTGCCGAATTGCACAGTGTGTACAATGTGCCAAAATATAGAGCTTTGTAACTCAATTCATGTACGAGCCATAATTAACCTTTAACGAACCTTTCGTACACTTTATTAATTAAGTGATTTGATGCGATTCTACATTCTGATTGTTAACGAAAAATTAGATTGAAGTAGAATATAGGTAATAGCTCCTTTTGTATGAATAAAAATAACGAATATTAAAATTTGTTTGCAACTATTTAAATCCAACCAATATACAGGGTGGAAACGATAAGTGATCTCATTCGATTAATTCTAAACTATACAAGATATTTAAAAACTGGTTACTNGGCCTATAGTTTTCACACCTGGATCTGTCACCACTCTTTAATATAGGTACAACATGAGCAGTTTTCCACATGGTTGGAAATGTTGCAGTTTCAAGCGACTTACTAAATATTATTGCAAGTGGGACAGACAGTTCCTTGCAGCATAGTTTAAACGTATGGATTAACTAAATGTATGGAAGCTGAAAACATTTAATTTTCGGAGGGATCCAGTTTATTTTGTAACCTATTATTGGTACCGTTGGATAGACCTCGTGAGGAACTTTTAGGATCAGTAACCAGTTTTTAAATATCTTGTTTTGTTTTTAATATTATGTGGTATTATTAAATGTATGGACGCTGGAAACATTGAATTTTCGGATAGATCCAGATTATTTTGTGACCTATTATTGGTACCGGTACCGTTGAATAGAGCTCCTGAAGCACTTTCGAGATCAGTAATCAGTTTTTGGATACCTTGTATAGTTTAGAAATAATCGAGTGAGATCACTTATCGTTTCCACCCTGTATATTATTATCCCGATTAAGTCAATTACATGTATTTATTTTTAAGATTTATACCTATTTATTTTGTAATAATCAATCAATTCCTTCAAAATAAATCGTTATTAAAATGCGGTTACTAGTTAATAGTGTTAAATACAATACATGTAACGGACAACAGGCGTACTTCAAAATTGAACTAATTATAATATTGTTTTATAATACCATTCCCAATTTGAATATTTTTTATTCAAAGTGGGAACGATACCTAAGATACAATTCTTCATCGAACGGGTTGAGTGAAATCCTTAGATATTTAATATTCAATTTAGCAATAGAGATCAGCGATACCGCGACATGACTTCACAAGACGCGGTCCAGGCTGCGGTACTAATAAGTGAGATACAGTTACATTGAAACCTTACACAGGAATTGGCAACACGCAAATGAGATTCGGTTGCGTACGCGCCGGACGGGGACTAGTGATATTAATGATGCAAGTAACCGTTGTGATCATAGGGTGCTAACCAACTAACTGTCAATATCCGCTGTGGACGCTGGAGTAAGCTAGTGGCTACTTTGTAATTAGAATACCTAATTCTGGAAATGCAACTGGGTTAAATCTTCACAATGCTAGTAGAGACTAAATAGAAACTTCTACCTACTTCCTTCTTCTTCTATCGTATGGGCTGTAAAAAGTTAGGCCAAAACCTTGCTCTTATACTTTAAGGCTGGCATAGGCTTCTAACATCAATCAGACCCAGAGGCATCTCATTTATTTTCAAGTGATTTAATACATAACTATTTGTGTTCGATCTAGGAATCGGACCTCAATTACTGATCCTCAAAATCTGGGCTTCCAACTCTCATTATAACGTTATAGGATTACAGTTTTTGGTTTTGCAAAGCTGTTTTGCTATTAGTGATGGGCTAACGTTTGATTTCTGTCGCAGATTCTTGGTTTAGCTTTTTCCCACCAACATATTACAATATCGAAACACTAATCAGGAGTGTTAGTGGGTCATATAGGTAACATAGTAATAACAATTTAATGTCAAAGGTCTAAGTATCATCGGAAAAAGTGACATAAAACGCTGATGCGATCAAACGTATATCGCAAGTTCGTCACCCTAATTACGTATCATTTTTCAATTACCATTAATTGATGGCGATCCTCAAAATGAAATATTGTCGCTCGGCATCGGACTGGTCATAAATTTTAATAACATTTTGATTAAAACTTGTTGCGCAACTGCGACCTTTTTATTCTCAATGCATCAAGGCGGTGTTGCAAGCCCCATGCATTATGCATCCTTTTTCGGGCGCTGCGTGAACTTTAGCAGATCCATATGACTGAAGACTTGTCAATAAAGTTATGAACGCAACATTTTCAGAATGTTTAAGATTTTGGACAAGATCATAAAGTTGAAATATCTCATTTTAAAATGTTTAAATTTCAGTCGGCGCGTCTTTTTTAGTTTGAATTATATCTTTTTCCAATGCAATGGTAAGACTGTAAATTTCATAATAATATCTTTACTACGAACTTTTTCTTGTAATATTAATTTATTGTTATATACCATACTTGTTTTGGATAGAACGCGCTTGAAGATAATATCATTCATATCTCGCTTTCAACAAGAGGCTTTATTTTTTCAAGAGTCACTTCTGTAAGACTTTACTAGCTGCCATAACCGTCCGTCAACCACATTGCTCATGTAATTGTACTACCAAAAGCAGTCACCTGGATCGACGATTAAACGCCTACTCTCTGTATTAAAGATTCATATTTCTTGAAGCCTTATAATTTCTTAATAGACATGGAGCTAAAAGTATAATCATTACTTAAGAAGTTGACTAAATATCAGCACTTGACCAAAAAGTAGTTATAAAACCATTAAAATAATTTACTTGGCATTGTGAAGCTTTTGATTTTAAAGCTTTGCCTTGATAGAGTGCTAAAACAATTGGCAGCTAATCANGCTAATCGTAGCAACACACGAAGTGACATTGGGACGAGATAGTGTTGCAACGTCATCGATAGATTGTCCAATTGTTAAAAAAGATATTGTACAGACAACGGCACATCAAGATAAACATTGCGGTATCTTACGTGGTTGTGATAGGGGTGAGTTTGCAACAAAAATGTGTAGTCTGATGTGCTATCGTCTGTACAAAAATAGTCACGCTAGTAATATAAACACATTAGCAATAGTGAAATAATAAAGTGACCAAATAATTATAATGAAATGTAAAGTGCTAATGAAATTCTTGTCGGTATGTAGGTACGAGTTTAGTATAGTTAGTTAGATTTCTAGAACATGCTAAGTTTATTCAATCGGTTTGCAATCTCATAGTAATAGACTCGCTGATATGTCGAATTTTCTTTTTTTTTTCAAAACATTCTAAAATATACTCGAACCATTAAATAAACTCTATCATTTATCAGTTTAGTTCAGTTTTTTATTTTCTTAAAACATCAAATCAGGGACACACGTCTTATAAAAGTTAAAATGTTATATTAAAACACTTTTTCCCTCGATATCAGCCTCATCGATATTGCAATAAACACCACTAAGCTTGCGTGACTGCGTGCGCGTGCGCCTGCTTGGAAGCATTGATAATATTTGATACCAATCCGTTACGGTGATCTGAGCCAAAGTCATTGCTCTCTGTTTGTGAAGTTCAACAATCAGTTACTATTTGATACAATTTATTAATAAATTAATTGTTTAATAAAAAATACTGCTTAACAAATCATCAGTGAATAAGTTTGACAAATAATAATTATTTTTATTAAAAGTATAATAAACTTTTATTTTTTATAAAGAGGAAAAATAAAACAATCATTTATTTACTACTATCCAATACACAAAATCTCAACGGAAAAATACTGATACCCATAACTTAACCCCTTGCCAAAATAAAGTTTAAAAGCGCCGTGCCTACGTTAAATACGATGACGTTTTAATCGTTTTATCGCGCTTTAAGTTAACATTTATTAATCCGTGTTCACCCGATAAAAATAAACAGACACATTGATGATCTTAAAGTCCAAAATCCCGTGTTTCCGAACACTTTCCCCGTCACACCTAGATACGCCGATATGCCGAATGCGATGACGCCGAATTAAAGTAATTATACGAATGTGTACCTTTTGCAACGATGCCGTGATGATTCTCGAAAAATTTACGATTACCACTACCAAAATAAATGAGGATAAACGGCGGCTGTCATTGAGGGAATTCATTAAAGGCCGGTTTCCCAACGTGACCTTCGCGGAAGCGCATGCGAAGATATTGAGGCATGCGCTCGCGACCGACGACCGGAGGAAGTGTATGTGGCCAGCTGCAGCGGGGTAAGTATGTGAGTACACTGGGTGCACGCGATCGAGTTTAAAGTCTTGAATTTAATTTGAATAATCTTTTGAAACCCTTTTTCAAAGAGTTCTATGGATTTTAATAGTGAAACGGGATATTAGGTATAGTATGTAAAAAAAACCTCCGATTTGATATTAAATTCGTTCTGGGTCTTATGAATAGTTAGGTATCCTTACAATAAGACATGGATGATTGGTCAAAATGATTCTGGAAAATTCATATATTTTTTAAGCTTTTTTGCTAATCCAATACAACCAGTAGGTATAAGTTACAAGCAG